GGTGATAAACAACAGGCTTTGTACTACGCCCCAGAGTGCATTGTTTTCGACGGGTGTTTGCAAACATCGCATTTGACTGAGAAATCTGTCTGCATCTAGCAGTGGGTGGTGCTTGCTATTCGGGTCTGCTAGCTACATTACGGTGTGTCTGAGTGGCCTGTAGCCAGAGGCATTAGAATGAAGATGACTCACTGCTAAAATAAGCGGCTGGTGTGGGATTCTGAGTCTTAACAAGTGGAGGGATGTTTTTTTTCTTCTCCAGCTTGTAACGAAACGTTTACTCAAACTCCAGTCTTGGCGTTTCCTACCATAGTGTGCCTTTCTGTGTTTGTCTTCTCTGTTCAGATGTTACGCACTGCACGCGTCTGATGATTGGTAAACACGTCTCGTGTGAAGTAAAATGTTGACTCAAATAAGGAATGTTTTCTGTATGTATGTTGAAATTTCGCATCGTATATAGCCAACCGTGCTTATTGGAGGTGTCCATATTAATTTTAATCCTCGTTACATTGATAGGTGTGTACACACATTGCGAATATTACATTTTTAATTGGTTTTGGCTACATGAAGTGGAACAAAAAAAAAAGATCCCTCATGTAGATTGCTCGGGCAAGTGCTCTAAAGTTATCACTTCCTCCAGATCGACTCAGCCTTAAATGAGTACCAGGCGTGGTGTGTAAACATTGCAGCACTGGGGAGACAAAGGCAGCTTTGCGAGTTCCTGGCAACACCACCACCCCTTTGTGCGACATGCAGACCTTAATAGGGGCTCCCTGACAGTCCTGCCCAACCAGTCTATTAAATACTCCACGAGGGATCTTTGTCTCACATGGAACGTACACTCACACATGGCCTCTATCATCAGGTGCCATTGAGTCACAATTGGAAGGTCGAAAGTTCAAATCCTATTGTCCTTCCAGTCGGTAACACGAGTACCCCGTTTGTGGTAGTCGACAGCAGTTATCCTGTGGATGGATTGGTTTCTCTCAAGGGAATGTGGAATTTCCAACACGGGCAGAGGACCAGCAGGGAATATGGATTGAGGCTAACGAGACTGAGCTTCAGACTCCGCTATTGAGCCAGTTCTTACGGTATTTCACAATGACTTGCCAGGCTCGTTTTTTGTTTTCCTGAAATAATTTTGTTAGGAATTCAATCCCAAGGTGATTGCTATGTACAGTTTGAATCGCACAACACCCTAATTTTGGATGGTGAATTTTTGTACAAAAAATGTGGAATATGCCTCTGCCTGATTCAGAATGTTTGAAACCAGGGTTGACCATTATGTCATAGACCATTTTTGAGATGTTTCTTGAATGCAAAGTTGTAAATAAGTTATTTATATTTCTAGATTTAAATTTCAGTAAGCTGGTTGCAAAACAATTACCCACCCTCCCTTGAAATGTGTACACTACTGGTTAGATCGCATATAACATTGAAAAACTCTCGAAACTAACTGGCCTACATGGTGGCCAGGACGTAGCAGTACAGCAAGTTGGTTTGTTAATCACATCTCTGCCGACCTTTTGAATGTTATTCCCTCGTACGCATTGGAGCTTTACGGTTCCGCCCACACGCAAAACATTCTTTCAAGAGGAATTGGCCATACATCCGAATACATCCCTCTGGAAAATGAGTCTTTAATACTCAAGCTATCCTTGGGGTAAAAGTAAAAAAAAAGATATAACTCATTATTATTATAGTGTTCTTCTTGGTTCTTTCGGTAAAGTCACGTAGAAGGGAAATAATAATATAATAAAACTAAAACATTAAATAATTCTCACGACGTTTCGGCCACAACGCAAGCAGCGTTGTGGCCGAAACGTGAGAATAATTTTATTATGTTTTATTTTATTATTTCCCTTCTACGTGACTTTACCGAAAGAACCAAAAAGATGAATCCCTGCAGTCACGAAAGCTTTAAATCGAAATTTAATAGTGTTCTTGTTTCTGTTGAAATATTTTGAGAACCGAATCCATGGGTGGATGGGTGGGTGTGTGACATCGCAGTGACTTGAAATAGTAACAATATGATGTTGATGTTTGCTCTTGTAGGGTACCTGGGGTCCCGTCCCTGCACATCCAAACACCCGTGTGCCATGTTTTGCACCGCTCGCCTTCCTCTCGTAGGTCACCTCGGCCTGAAAAAAACACAGCGCACCTGGCAAAGAAGGCAGACTGCATCATTCCAGCCATTCGTGGTTGGAAGAAGATACTAGGAATGACGCCAGTCCTCTCCACCCGTCACCCACCCACCCACCCGACCCATAAAAGCTTACATCACGGCTGGCCAAAATTACACAAAACTCACAAAGAAGGACTATAATAGGTGCTAGGCCAGCGAGCGCGAGAGAAAGAAGAAGTACGTTTGTTTTTCGCCAGCAAGCCCAGCATCTCGGGGCTGAAAATCAGCCAGGGTTTTGATGACCGGGCGAGAGGCCAGGAGCGGGGCTTTAAGAGGACACGCCGGGGTTTGTGGTATAATTATTATTAGCGGTTGTGGTTGTATTATTAGCGTTGTATAAACAACTGAACGTGCTTCGTAAATTTTCCAAGTCCACCCCGTCACGCACCCACCTCTTGTTTTTGTTTTATATCCCGGGAAGTGACGTTTTTGGTCGAGGTGAAAACGCGTTGGAAATAACCGTGAGTAGTGTTTCATCAAAATTACGATATTGTGCGGCTCCGTGGTGGGGGGGGGGGGGGGGTACACACATCGCGAAATTAATCCTAATTGTGTGTGCGATTTGCTATACAGTACGTTCCTAAGTGGTTTTCCTATGTTTATCCTGGACTTTTTAAAAGCAATGTGGACTGTCGACAGAGGTTTAGGACCGCCAGTGGATTTCTTTTGCACCTCCCGTATGCTAGTTTGAGCAGGGACATACTTTTGATCTCGATGACTCTTCGAGTTGTTTGTATGCGTGTACGGTGACTTACTCCAATAGTCTGTTAAGGCTACACGGGGGAATCTTTGTCTTTGTGGCTTAAGAGGTCTTGAGCACGCGGTGCGTGTTTGCGGCTGTGATATTTAACTGTCGTGCGGCAAGACCGTCTGTTATGTAACTTGCGGGCATAATAATGGTAATGGATGGGGGCCATAGGGGTCGTTGGGGCTAGCTGGGGACCCGGGAAGGGAGGGAGAGAGAGAGAGAGAGAGCTGCAGGGGTGGTGGGGAGGGGTGCCCCTGTTTGGATGAAAGTGGCAGACGGCACGTCTGAGTGCCTTCCTCGCTTCCTTCCCGACGAATCCCTGCCTCCCTCTCTCCGTGCCTCTGTGTCTGTTCTCCCTCACTAACTCTTTCCTCCCTCCCTTGCTCCTCTCTCCGTGCCTTGCTGACACTCCATCCCTCTCTACCTCGCTCTCTACGACAACCCCCTGACTTCTGATTTAGCTCGATATGTCCTTTCTCTCTCCCTAACGCTCTCGTTAGTTTCCTCTTTGCATGCCTACATCTCTCAAGCCTTCCCGGCCTCCCTGTATTCCTTCCTAACTCTCTCTCATCACCCCTCCCTGCCTGCCTACCCCTACCTGCGTTTCTCCTTCTATGGTCACTTCCTCGCCTTCCTGATTCTCTCCATCCTGCCTCCTTTAACCTCAATTTAGACTTCATAAATCATTCTACCCCTCCTTTTCCGAGCACTGCTCTACTTCCCTATCTTTCATCCTCCTCGCTCCGTTGTCTTCCTCTCCTCTTCTACCTCACCTTCACCCCGACCGCTTACCATCTCTCCCTGTCTCACACTCCATCCCTCCCCAGCGCGTCTCATTCACTTTCAGTTCCCAAACTGCCCACGTGTAACGCGCCGAGTCATGGGGTTGGGATGGGGACTTGAGAGTGCGAATGGTCGAGGTATGGAATATAAATGCAAGAGGCGAGAGCTGTGGTGGGGGTGAGATGGGAGATAGAGAAGGGAGGGAAGAACAATAAGACGTGATGGAAATAGGGGAGGTAGAGAGGGGGTGGGGTGCTGCAGATTAGAGAGAAGAGGGTATTGTTTGGTGAGATGAAATGAGAGTGGGGAGAGATGAGAGATAGCGTAAATGAGAGTGTAAGAGACAGTATAGAGGGGAATGGGAGCGATAAGAGAATGCAGAGAGAGGGGAGCGGCGAAACGGGAGGTGGAGTGAGGAGATGATTCTAGACATGGAAGAGCAGAGTGAGTAGAGAGATACAAGATGAGTTAGTGTGCAGGCGGTGTAACTGCGCTGGGGCCCACGGGCTGGTGGGGGGCTCCACACATCGGGCTTCAAAGAGGAAGGGGGCATTGGACGGGAGGGTGTGGCCCGTTTAAAGACACGTACCAGGCAGGGTCCATGCCAACCACGCTCACCCCACTGGGAGACGGGGCAGAGGGAGATGTGACTGGGAGACGAGAGAGAGAGAAGGAACGTTGGGGTGGGTGGGTGGCTGGCTCGACAGATAAGACAGTGAGTGCCCAACTGCGCTTATTCACGCGACAAACATCCACACCATGACCGGACGCAATAGGAACGCGTTGTGGAATTCCCCAGCAGCTGCGTGGCTCAGCAGATGAGTGATTAAGTCAAAAGTCAAGCGGCCATCAATGCCAATCCTATTTATTTTGCCACCACCACCACCAACCTCGCCATCGCCTCCTTCATATTGCTAGATCTCTTTGCTGTTGTAGTGTCGACACTTGGCTCTTAAAGTCTCGGTAGCACCAACAGCCATTTGGCTTTTAGGTATTTTCCCTTGTTACACAATCGATTAGTCTTTCAAGGAGGGCTGTCTAACGCACCGTCTCATCCAGACTGTGTTCAGCCGCCCCACGGCCACTTTTATTTCTGTCTCTTTCCTCGCATCGCTCACCGTTGGGATTCCTTCCCATCGTCTCTTTAACCCAAGCTGTTATTATCATACAACCTTGCACAATCTCCTTATCTGTTACGCCTTCAGTAGTGATGTTTTGCGGGCTGCTTGACGTTTTTTTTTGGGGGGGGGGGGGGGATTTGGGCCAGTACTCGGCAAACCGAAATGTATTAAAACAGCATCGAAAATCAATTTAAAACACAACTGTCCACATAGGCGGGACCAGGCTGACGACACTGGCTGCCTGAATTCTTAAAACTTTTGGGAGGTCTTTGAAAATGCACCTCCTCCTCTCTCGCCTTTGAACTGACTCGAACCCGTACGTCATAGGTTTGGCGTCAGACCCTAAAAAGTCCTCTGTATAAGCACCCAGGGCTGTCTCGTCAGACGCCTCTTCCCTACCCCACAAGCCAGCCAGACCCATTTCATCTCCACCCATTCCAGGCGAGAGCCTTAATACATCTGCAGGGGGAACACTGGAAGGTAAGGGATGGGATGTGGGGTTTCTGTTTTGCGTGTGGAGAATGTGTGTGTGTATGTGTGTCTGTGAGTGCAAGTGTAAGAGTGTGTTGGATGTGTGCGTTGGTGCTGGCCACCCATCCACCCCCTCGTGTACCGTGCCGGCCTTCATAGGTGCTCGCTAACAGCACTTGCCCGGTCAGTTTTCTAAGGCTATGGGGGGGGGGGGGTCTTTGGATGTGTGATTGTGAGTTTGGTGAGTGGTAGTGTAGCGGTCATCGCGCTGCACTACGAACCCGGCGACCAGGGTTCGATTCCCACTCACGGACAACACCAGTGACGATTATCTGGGCCTCCGCTAGGTAGACTTCGCCTTAAATGAGTACCTGGTGCAATGTGTAATCATCGCCACGAGGGGGACAAAGGCGGCCGGGCGTGGTGCTGGCCATCCACCCCCTCGTGTGCCGTGCCGGCCTTCATAGGTGCGACTCGCTAACAGCACTTGCCCTCACAGTCTGTTAAGGCTATACGGGGGGTCTTTATCTGTGTGTCTCTTAGTATGTGTGCGTCTGAGTTTGTGTGAAAGTGTGTGGTGCGTGCGAGTGAGTGTATGTTGATGTGAGTGTGTGTACGTGTGTGCGGACGTGTATTTGTGTGTGTGTGTGTGCTATGTGTATGTACGTGAATGTCTGAATATTTGTGTCACGGCGCATGTGTGAGTATGTCACGTGTGCGTGCGTGCGCGCGCGTGGATGGATGTGCTTGTGTGTGGATGAGTGTTCGTGTAGACATCTGTGTGTGTGTGTTAATCTGTTTGTGTCTAATGGGGAGCTGTGGAGTAAGTGATTATCGCAACGGCTACCTGAGTTTGATTCTTGGCCATAGCTAACATCGGTGGCGAGTGATATCGGAACGGGTGCCGATACGCGCCTAGGTCGACTCAGCCTTTAAAAAAAGCAGTACCTGCTGCGGTTTGTAAACATCAACACTCGGGAGACAAATGCGGCGTTGCGTTTGCCGCCCGGTACCCTCGTGTGCCCTGTCTGCCTTTCATAGGTCCTCGCTAACAGCACTTGCTCCAACAGGCTGTGAACAGTCTAGATTTGAAGCTTTCGTGACTGCAATGATTAATATTCTTAGGTTTTTTCGGTAAAGTCACGTAGGTAGTATGCGGCCCTTGCCCCACCACCTTCTCCAACCATTATATAAACGGAGTGGTAGCTCCTGCAATCTCTCATTTACTTGATACAGCTGTCGTGGCTGTGACGGTACCCCCTGAAGACGGAAGCTTGTGTTGCCTCCGAAACGTCGTGATTTTTATTTTATTTTTTTAATGTTTTTTACCTACGTGACTTTACCGAAAAAACCTAAGAATATGAATAGGCTGTGAACAGTCTACACGGGGAATCTCTGAGACACGTGTAAGAGAGTGAGTGTGTTTATTTGTCTGTGACTGCGCAAACGTTACACACGTTTGTGACACCAATGATCGTGTGTACCGCATGTGGATGTGACTTGACAACTTGCGTGACTGCGAGGGTGTATTTTATCGCGCGTGTGTTTGAATTGGGGAGCGGTGGCGCAGCGGTTAGCGCGCTGCGCTCCTAACGCGTCGTGCAGTTAAACGAACCCGGCGATCCGAGTTCGATTCCCTCTCACGGACAACACCAGTGACGATTGTTTGCACCGGTCCAGAGTTTTCCCGAGGTCGACTCGGCCTCAAATGAGTGCCAGGCGTGGTGTGCAGTAAACATCGCTACTCGGGAGACAAAGGCGGCCGGGCGTGGTGTTGGCCACCCACCCCTCGTGTACCGTTGTCGGCCTTTATAGGTGCTGCTCGCTGACAGCACTTGCCCCAACAGTCTGCTAAGGCTATACGGTGGGGCGGACTTTGTCTTTGTGTCTGCGCGTACGTGAGTGTGTTTTTCCAATCATAGCCTTTCGTTTCAGAAGGCATACTGCCAGCTGTAAAGATTCTACGATGCCAGTGAAGTTGCCTTTAGGGAAAGAAAACGCGTGCAGTTAAACGCTAAAATATTAATGTGGTGGGAGGGGGGGGGCTTTGCTTTCGCCTAATATAGCCTCTTCTGTAACAATTTAAATCGTCTAAAGAATACATGAATTCAAGGTGGACCGGGTGCCTTAAGAGGTCAAGAGTGCTGACTCGGCTCTGTTGACATCCTGGGTTTGAATCCAGATTCGAGCCCCTTCCCCGGGGTTTCAAGTGCATTGAGTTGGTCTCACACACACGCAAAAACACATCACATTACATTTGTATCTGCACGTAATTTGGTTAAATTTCATCTCTGTCATGCGCCAAATATTACTCGGGTGTAGCGGGGTGGGTGGGACAGTGCTGCCACCCTTCCGTATGAACCAGGGTTCCCTTAACGAGGATCTCAGGGGTACATCTTCTTGGTTCTTTCGGTAAAGTCACGTAGAATGGAAATAATAAAATAATAAAAATAAAACATAATAAAATAATTCTCACGACGTTTCGGCCACAATGCAAGCAGCCGTCCTCAGGTGGAGAACAGGTCTGTCGAGAAGACATTCAGACTCTGTCTTCTCGACAGACCTGTTCTCCACCTGAGGACAGCTGCTTGCGTTGTGGCCGAAACGCCGTGAGAATTATTTTATGTTTTATTTTTATTATTTCCATTCTACGTGACTTTACCGAAAGAACCAAGAAGATGAATCCCTGCAGTCACGAAAGCTTTAAATCGAAATCTCAGGGGTAGTTCAGCGTTATCCACTTCCGTGGGTTTTTACGACGGTTTGCACGTCTCTGTGAGAGAGTTGCGGTCCTTCGTCTCGCAAAGAAGTGCAAGAGCACAATCGACATACCATTTCGGTGGGGAGAGAGGGTGGGGGGGGGGGGAACCAACACGTTAAATTGAAAAATGGTTACAATTTCAGACAGCTTAAATTCCAGACGGTTTTCATTTGTAGACAGCTTAAAGCCTAGACAGTTTGTTCAAATTGAGTTGGGGTGGTTGGAGGGGAAAGGGGTTTGGTCGGGCCAATATTTTGTCGGATTTTGTGTTGGTGGTCTCAACGAGACGGGTTGAAAAAGAAAACAAAATAAAAGTAATATATCACGACGTTTCGATCTGCTGAACTGCTGAACCAGCGAGAGAGGCGAGGCATTAGTGGCAGCACCACGTGTCCTTTGGTCACAGTCACACGGCCTGTCTGGACATCACCTTCAGGGTGTCTTAATATAACTCGAGTCTGTGTGCCAGCCTGCACTCTCTTTACGGCCTGGCTGAGTCTCCCAGTGATGTTGTTTCGTTCTAGATTTGAAGCTTTCGTGATTGCAAGGATTCATACTCTTAGTTCTTTCGGTAAAGTCACGTAGGTAAAAAATGAAATAAAAATTAATGAAAATAACTACCCCTGATGACGGAGACTTGTGTTGCCTCCGAAACGTCGTGATTTTATTGTTTTATTTTTATTAATTTCATTTTTTACCTACGTGACTTTACCGAAAGAACTAAGAGTATGTTGTTTCGTGTTAAACCGCTTTGGGGCAGGCGTCCATCCAGCAAAGGATTCACGACTCTCAGACAAAGCAGACGAATGGCTTTCTTTGCACTTTTTTTTCCAAACGTTTATTTCAGAATCAGAATATTTATTTATGCTGGAGGAATCCGATGAGCTGTAAAGCTCTTTTCCACACATGTCCAGTCGGGGCGCGTAAGAACGTCACAACAAAAAAACAACACAAAAACACGATCGGAGCGCAAAGTATAAGAATGGTAAACAAATCGCCTAAACACAAACAAACAAAACTAAACCATCCCCATCCTACCGCACAAAGCCCACGGAGGTATTAAATTATTTTTTTTCAAAAGCGACCTGGCCACAAATGATAGCCCGACAAAGTGGCTTGCAATTTGGACGTATATTAAAAAAACAATCTAAATAATCTAAACGCGTGTTTCTAAATGTGGAGGGGAAAAACCGGAGGACCCAGAGAAGGGTGAAAAAATCCACGCAACCAAGGAACGCGTCAACTCCAAACATACAGCAGCAGGCGTCAGGGTCGGTGTCGAACCACCGACCTCCTGCACACCAGGCGAGGTAGTTAACATCTCCGAGCCACCGTGATGATGATGATGAGAGAGAGACACGCAAACTCCAAACATACAGCAGCAGGCGTCAGGGTCGGTGTTGAACCACCGACCTCCTGCATACCAGGCCAGGTAGTTAACATCTCCGAGCCACCGTTTACTCTTTGGTTCTTTCGGTAAAGTCATGTAGATGAATAAAAAATAATAAAATGAAAATAACTCAATTAAATCACGACGTTTCAGAGGCAACACAAGCTTCCGTCAACAGGTGGAACTGCCACAGCAAAATTACTGTAGTCAGTAGTAATTTTGCTCGTAGCAAAATTATTGTAGTGAGTCGTCATTTTGCTCTGGAAGTTCCACCTAATGACGGAAGCTTGTGTTGCCTCCGAAACGTCGTGATTTAATTTAGTTATTTTCATTTATTTTATTTTCATCTACGTGACTTTACCGAAAGAACCAAAGAGTATGGATCCTTGCAGTCACGAAAACTTCAAATCTAGGAGGAAGTCTATCTGAGCGTGGCCGACTGCGATTATGACTTTCCCAACATTTGCAGCGAGTGTGAGAATTGGGTTTGAGAGTGGGACGGGAGTGTGGGCAAGGCAAGGGAGGGGCTGGAGTGAGTGAGTGAGGAGGAGGAAGGGAAGGTCGCAAGTTGGTTTGTTTTGCCTCGCATGGGAAACGCCTAGCGGTGGAGGATGCTGAACCATCGTGTTGGCAAATGCTTACACACAACGACAAAGATGCCCCGGATAGCCTAAACCAATTCTTTGGGGCAAGTGTTGTTAGCCAGCACATATGAAGGCCGGCACCACGCCCGGTCGCCTTTGTCTCCCCGGTGACGATGTTTACTCACCGTGCTGTTGGGGGAGACCCATGACCTGTTTCAGATAAACATCACTGGTGTTTGAGTTGGCCGTGAGCGGGAATCGAACTCGGTTCATCGCGCAGCGCGCTAACCTCTGCACTATCGCCCCCCGTGATTACGCAGACAGACAGACAGATAAGTATGTATGTGGGACGTCTTTCGCACCGCACACACCCAACACACTCTTACACTTGCACTCACAGACGCACATACACACACGTGCTCACGCGTACGGGCGAAGACACGTGCATGCAACCCACCAACACACGCGCGTAGAGACGGACAGCCCAACGATTCACTCTTTTGTGACATCGTCTCGTCTAATCCACCCCCGATACCTTGCAGCTCGCTGCAGCCTCCACTATTCTCTTTGTGGGTTTTATTTATCCGTGTCATCCACGCCTACGACGATGATGATGATGCTCTTCCCTTTGATTAGCCCTGCGAGTCCCAAGAAGAGAGGGGGACGCCTGAGAGAGAGAGAGGAGTGGAGGTCGCCATGTCTCCCCACGTGTCTGTGTGTACCCTGCTGCTCGTGTCGGTGACCTTGGGGGTCAACGAGGGGACTCAGGTGAGAAGTGGGCGGGGGGGGGGGGTGCCCCGGTGGCTAGGAGATGTTAACTACCTCGCCTGGTATGAAGGAGGTTGTGGGTTCGATCCCGACCCTGACGCCAGCTGTATATTTGGAGTTTGCCTGTCTCTCTTATTATCACGGTGGCTAGGAGATGTTAACTACCTTGCCTGGTGTGCAGGAGGTCGTGGGTTCGATCCCGACCCTGACGCCAGCTGCTGTATATTTGGAGTTTGCGTGTCGCTCTCTTATCATCATCACGGTGGCTAGAAGATGTTAACTACCTCGCCTGGTGTGCAGGAGGTCGTGGGTTCGATCCCAACCCTGACGCCTGTTACTGCTGTAGATTTAGAGTTTGCGTGTCTCTCTCTCATCATCATCACGGTGGCTAGGAGATGTTAACTACCGCGCCTGGTGTGCAGGAGGTCGCCGGTTCGATCCTGATCGTGACGCCTGCTGTATATTTGGAGTTTGCGTGGCTCTCTGTGCGTAGACGCATGGATTTTCCTCCGAGTCCTCCGGGTTTTCCCCTCCGCATTTAGAATCGACGACACGCGTTTACAAGTATTTTTCACCAACCCATGGGGAAGTACGGCCAATCAACTCTCCACTAATGCGACATTAATCGTCATCATCGTTATCATCATAACCAGAGATTTCAATACCCCCCCCCCTCTACCAGGTGAACGAGGTGAGAGGTGGTGGGTCCCAAGAGCTGGGCCCACTCGCAGCTCGCTGGGTGTGCGGACCCGTCGCCCCGGGGTCCACCGAGGAGGGCTCTCCGAATGGGGCTCCGTGCCCCTCGTCGCAAGCGGACGCGTTGGAGCTTCGCGCCTTTGGCGACGTCCTCCTCCTCCTCGCCGTCAGGGCGACGAGCTCGGAGACGCAGCTGCTGACCGCCTCCTACCACGTGGAGGCCAACGCGGAGGGGGCTCGAGGGGGGGTCCCGGGGGGGGCTCGCGGGGGGGCCCGGTCGGAGTGCGTCTACGCGCGCGGGGACGTGGCGTCGCACCCCCCCGGAGGGCGATTCGCGCTCAGCGTCTGCGACGACGCCCGGCTGGTACGGTGATGTCGATTCGTCACCCGTGGCGAGGAGATGTTGACTGTCTCGCCTGGTATACAGGAGGGCGTGGGTTCGGTCCCGACCCTGACGCCTGCTGCTGTATATTTTGAGTTTGCGTCTCTCTCTCTCATCATCACCACGGTGGCTAGGAGATGTTAACTACCTCGCCTGGTATACAGGAGTTTGTGGGTTCGATCCCCGACCCTGACGCCTGCTGCTGTATATTTGGAGTTTGCGTGTCTCTCTCTCATCATCATCACGGTGGCTAGGAGATGTTAACTACCTCGCCTGGTGTACAGGAGGGCATGGGTTCGACCCCGACCCTGACGCCTGCTGTACATTTGGAGTTTGCGTGTCTTTCTCATCATCATCACGGTGGCTAGGAGATGTTAACTACCTCGCCTGGTATACAGGAGGTCGTGGGTTCAATCCCGACCCTGACGCCCGCTGCTGTATATTTGGAGTTTGCGTGTCTCTCTCGCTCTCCCCGTGGTAACGTGGGGTTTTTCGCCGGGGTCCTCCGTTTTTTCAGTCCGAATTTTGGAATCTGCAGTCGCGCGTTTAGAGTATTTGTCTGCGACACACTTCCACTTGCTAATAAGCCACTTCATTGAGCTGTCATTTGTGGCCAGGTCACTCATGAGAAAGAGCTACACAGCTCAATGGGCCTTACCTGGTAAGATAAAAAAATAGCTTCGTTTCTTGTTTAGCTTTTAGGTGAATGTTTTGTTTAACCGGTTGAGAACTCAAAGAGGCCAGGATAGAGGAGTCTCATTTGCAACGAGTGAGCTGGGTGAATGAGTCGGCGGGCGGCGAGTGAATGAGTGGGCGGGTGAGTGAATGAGCCGCGGGACAATTGTGCGAACGAGCGAGTGACCGCGTGAATCGGAACAAGGATTAGCTAAGCGACTGAGTAATTGCTCTTATTTTCAAATGCCCCTTGGTTTAATTGCACTCCCCCCACCACCACCACTGTGTAAATTCCCTCCAGGAGGGGGTCGTGTTCCTGGGTCGGTGTCGTCTCATCATTCGCCCATCGGAGTCTGGGGGACACTTGGCGACAAAGGAATGTATCGGTGAGTGATACAAAGACACGCTTAGGCACAGACAAAGATCCCCCATATAGCCTTGGCAGGCTTTTGGGGCAAGTGCTGTTAGCGGGGCACACTCGAGGGCGGTGGTGTGGCCGGTACGACGCCTCGGCCACCTTGGTCTCCCCGGTGACGTGACGTGCACACGCACCGCGCCGAGTCTCCGCTCGCGATGGCCGTGCTGGGTGCAATCTGCCGCGTGACGTGCAGATTCCATTTCACGTGGCCCATTGGGTTTTTTGCTCAGAAGATCAAATATCTGAGGTTTTTCAGGTGGGTTTGCAAGGATCGGTCAGTCAAGGTTCAAAGTTCAAAGTTCATTTATTAGGTATAGCCCTGTGAGCCATTCGGCTCTTGAATCGGGTGCAACCGCAACAAACAAAAAAACTAAAACATGAACAAGAAAACATCTTAGGTGTGCGTGGACATTAGGAATTGCGGGATAAGAGGAGTCAGAGCGTGCGTGAGTTTGTGCGTTCGTGTGTGTGTGTGTCTGCGAGGTATGGTAGACAGCGTTTGGGTTGTCTTCTTGCTGATAGCGGCGTCTTTCCCAGAACCCGGCGTGTGAAGTCATGCGTGCCGCGGTTATCAGCCACTCTTTAATTTCGAGGGCTGCCCGGTATTGTCAACAATAGTTGTGCGTACCACCCTCCCCATCACCCGCTACCTCCACCAACATCAACGCCATTTGCCTGGAGCATAGTCGGGCCTCGCTTCCACGATTGCAACTCTGTCCGAGTTCAATCTGCATCGAGTGACATCAAGAGAGTCCAACCTTTGCAGAATCATCTCGCCCGCTCCCTCCACTGGCTTCCCACCATCATCAGCAGAGTCAGCTACAACATCTCCTGCCTCCACTCCCTCCTCCACTGGCTAACCACCATCACCAGCAGGACCAGCTACATCATCTCCTGCCTCCACTCCCTCCTCCACTCGCTAACCACCATCACCAGCAGGACCAGCTACAAGATCTCCTGCCTCCACTCCCTCCTCCACTCGCTAACCACCATCACCAGCAGGACCAGCTACATCATCTCCTGCCTCCACTCCCTCCTCCACTCGCTAACCACCATCACCAGCAGGACCAGCTACATCATCTCCTGCCTCCACTCCTTCCTCCACTGGCTTCCCACCATCACCAGCAGGGCTAGCTACAAGATCTCCTGCCTCCACTCCCTCCTCCACTCGCTAACCACCATCACCAGCAGGACCAGCTACAAGATCTCCTGCCTCCACTCCCTCCTCCACTGGCTTCCCACCATCACCAGCAGGACCAGCTACATCATCTCCTGCCTCCACTCCCTCCTCCACTCGCTAACCACCATCACCAGCAGGACCAGCTACATCATCTCCTGCCTCCACTCCCTCCTCCACTGGCTTCCCTCCATCACCAGCAGGGCCAGCTACAAGATCTCCTGCCTCCACTCCCTCCTCCACTGGCTTCCCACCATCACCAGCAGGACCAGCTACAACATCTCCTGCCTCCACTCCCTCCTCCACTGACTAACCACCATCACCAGCAGGGTCAGCTACAACATCTCCTGCCTCCACTTTCTCCTCCACTGGCTTCCCACCATCACCAGCAGGGTCAGCTACAAGATCTCCTGCCTCCACTCCCTCCTCCACTGGCTTCCCACCATCACCAGCAGGGCTAGCTACAAGATCTCCTGCCTCCACTCCCTCCTCCACTCGCTAACCACCATCACCAGCAGGACCAGCTACAAGATCTCCTGCCTCCACTCCCTCCTCCACTGGCTAACCACCATTACCAGCAGGACCAGCTACATCATCTCCTGCCTCCACTCCCTCCTCCACTGGCTTCCCTCCATCACCAGCAGGGCCAGCTACAAGATCTCCTGCCTCCACTCTCTCCTCCACTCGCTAACCACCATCACCAGCAGGGTCAGCTACAAGATCTCCTGCCTCCACTCCCTCCTCCATTGGCTTCCCTCCATCACCAGCAGGGCAGCTACAAGATCTTCTGGCCTAAGAGTCTATGAAGGCTATATGGGAAGCCGGGGGGGGGGGATCTTTGTCTTTGTGTCCATGTTTGGGCACACGTGCTATCGTGTCCGTGATCATCACAGACAGCTAGGTAGGTATGTGCGCGTGCGTGCGTGCGTGTGCGTGCGTCTATGTTGTTGATGAAAGCTCGAGGAGATGGATTAAACTCGGGAGCTTTGTGATTGTGGGCGATGTTTACACACGCACACTTACGGTGGTCAAAACATTAGCGCGACGAAAGTCGTCTCGCAGTAAAAGAGCTGGCAATATAGCCGACTTAACTAAACCATTAATATAACATCATACGTGTTTTTTTGTATATTCTGGCCTATGGCAGCAACAGTTTGTGAAGGGAGTTAATGCCAATGTCGAGGCCTGCCGCTCGCCATGATGAGAGGGCTTCAGGAGAGAAGTGTGGTTTTTATATTCCGATGTTGTCTGGGTGCGTACGGTATTTAGCATGTTGGCCCAATGGTTACGAACCCCTGCAACCCGAGTTCGATTCCCGCTCACGGCCGCCACCAGTGACGATCATCTGAACCGGTGCTGGGCCTCCCCTAGGTCGACTCAGCCTCAAATCAGTAGCCGGTGCGGTGTGTAAACATCGCCGCTGGGGAGACAAAGGCGACCGTGCGTGGTATTGGCCATCCAACCCTTCGTGTAGGCCTTCAAAGGTGCTCGCTAACAGCATAGGAAGCCACTGGATCTGTGCACTTTTAAATCGAGATCGAAAACTAATTTCTTTAGAACGGCTTTTTGTGTTTAGATGAACGTCACCAGCGTAGAGCGGGGATCGAACTCGGGTTGCCGGGTCCGTAGGGCAGCGCTCCGGCTGCTCCACCACTGTCACGACCGCTCGCACACGGCACGCTCTCCCCCCCCCCCTACCCCGTCCGCTGCCCGTGACCTCCAGAGCCGGATGAATCCAAACCGGCGCACCGGGTCATCTCCAAACGTTCGTCCCCCGATTCCTCCGGCGACCCGGGCTCCCTGCCCGTCCACGCCGCAGCTCAAGGCCACGCCCCGGCCATCGACCCTGGTGCCACCGCGCGACCCGCCGATGGTGCTGATAGAACCCCGGACGGCGACGCTCCCACCGCCAGCGCCGGGCCCAGTCCGGAAGCAACGCAGCCTGGCCCCAGCAGCAGCGCCGACCCTAGCGCGACCTCTACGCCTGCCGCTAGCACGAAGCCTGACCCAAGCATTAGCACGAGCGCTCGCACTAGCATGAGCACTAGCGCTAGCCCGGGTCCTCGCAGCGCCGATGCTGCCCCTAACACTGACTCCAATCTGAACACTGCCCATAACCATAATGCTAGCCCTGACCTTACCACCAGCCTTGACCTTACCACCAGATTTAACCCCAGCACTGACCTTAGCACGAACCATAACCAGAGTACTACCTCTCCTGCGAGCCCTCACCCGACCACTGACTCTCACCCTAGCACTAGCCATAGCCCTAGCCCTCGCATGAACTCCCATTCTACTCCTGACCGCAACTCTACTGCCAGCCATAACCAGAGCACAAGCACAAGCCCTGATGGCGACTCTGGCCTGAACATCAATGGCATTAACCCGACCACCATCCTTCACCGTATCCCTAACACTGCCCCTACCACTGCTGTTAACATTACCCCCACCACTAGGCCTACCCCCAACACTACTCTTCATACGACCTCTATCCCCAACCATCTCCATATCACAACCCCTTCCGCTAGCCCGACCCATAACACTGCACCTAACACTACCAATATTCAAACTGCTGACACGACCACGAATTTTACTCATAATACCGCACCTAACACTACCCCGACCCCTAACACCACCCCTACCCCTAGCACTACCACTAGCACTACCACTAGCACTACCACTAGCACTACCACTAGCACTACCACTAGCACTACCACTAGCACTACCACTAGCACTACCACTAGCACTACCCCATCACCCACCGTCACCCCAAGTGCCCTGGCATCCTCCGCACCCAACACCGCGCTGCACCGCCGGCCAAACCCCACGGCAGGCCCCGTGACCCCCTCCGTGACCCCCCGCGTGACCCCGCGGGCCAACGCGACCCCCTCCCACAGCCCCTCGACGTCGCGGACCTCCGCGTCCACGTCCTCGGAGCCCCGAGGCTTCCACGTGGAGCTGGTGGTGGTGGCCGGGGCGGACGTGGGGCGACACCACGGGGAGGACACGCAGCGCTACCTGCTCACCAACATCAACATCGTACGTGGGGGGGGGTGGTCGCACGCACACGCCAACAGGCACACGCACGCACAGGCAGGCATATACACGCACGCACACACACACCAACAGGCACAGGCACACACACACACCAACAGGCACATGCACACAGACACACACCAACAGGCACACGCACACGCACACACCAACAGGCACACACACGCACTGGCAGGCATATACACGCACACACACACCAACAGGCACACGCACATACCAACAGGCACACGCACACACACGCACACGCACACACCAACAGGCACACACGCACACACCAACAGGCACACGCACACGCCAACAGGCACACGCACACGCACTGGCAGGCATATATGCACGTGCACGCCCTGGCAGGCGCACAAACAAAAAGATCCCCCATGTGGCCTTCAACAGGCTGTTGGGGCAAGAGCTGTTAGCTAGCACCAATGAAGGCCGACACGGCACACGAACGGTGGGTGGTCGACACCACGCCCGGCCGCCTTTGTCTCTCTCATGGCAATGTTTGCACCAAGTGCTCATTCGAGTCGACCACACAGGCACATGCACACACACACAGGTAGAGATATGCATGTCTACGCAGATGCATACACGTACACACACAGCCAGACACTTGAGTGTGCTTGTGTGTTTGTGTTTGCAAGTTGGCACAGTAGGGGGCACAGGTGGTGCATCGGCCAGTCATCTCAGTCGACCCGTGGCACCTGCTGGGTCTGCCCCGTGACCTCCTGCCGGCGGGCGTTCGACACTTCACGTGGCCTCGACGTGCACCTAGCCTGGCACAAGCGTCGTCGTGACGTCACCGGCAAATGGCGGTTGTTGTTGTTGTTGTGTTTGCAGGCTGCAGAACTGCTCCGTCTTCCCAGCCTGGGCAGACAGATCCACCTACACGTGGTCCGGCTACTGCTGCTTGGAGACTCAGCTCCCGTACCTACTCACACTTACACACACCTGCTCACACACACACCTGCTCACACGTACACACACCTACTCACACTTACACACACACCTGCTCACACTTACACTCACCTACTCACACTTACACACCTGCTCACACTTACACAACACACCTACTCACACTTACATACACCCACTCACGCTTACACACACCTACTTACACACACCTGCTCACACTTACACACACCTACTCACACTTACACACACCTGCTCACACTTACACACACCTACTCACACTTACACACACCTACTCACACTTACACACACCTGCTCACACTTACACACACCTACTCACACTTACACACACCTACTCACACTTACACACACACCTACTCACACTTACACACACCTGCTCACACTTACACACACACCTACTCACACTTACACACACCTACTCACACTTACACACACCTGCTTACACTTACACACACACCTGCTCACACTTACACACACCTAATCACACTGACACACACACCTACTCACACTTACACACACCTACTCACACTTACACACACCTGCTCACACTTACACACACCTACTCACACTTACACACACACCTACTCACACTTACGCACACCTGCTCACACTTACACACACCCACTCACACTTACACACACCTACTTACACACACCTGCTCACACTTACACATATCTGATGTCTACAAAACTGCGTGTACACTTCGATTTAAAGCTTTCGTGACTGCAGGGTTCATCTTCTTGGTTCTTTCGGTAAAGTCACGTAGAAGAGAAGTAATAAAATAATTAAAATAAAACATAATAAAATAATTTTCACGACGTTCCCTAACACTGCCCCTACCACTGCTGTTAACATTACCCCCACCACTAGGCCTACCCCCAACACTACTCTTCTGAAACACCATCATTCTTCACCTGAGGACGGCTGCTTGCGTTGTGGCCGAAACGTCGTGAGAATTATTTTATTATGTTTTATTTTTATTATTTTATTACTTCCCTTCTACGTGACTTTACCGAAAGAACCAAGAAGATGCGTGTACACTCTCACCTCTATTTTCACCTGTACACTCACCTACACACTCACCTACACACTCACCTGTACACTCACACACTCACCTACACACTCACACACTCACACACTCACCTGTACACTCACCTGTACACTCACCTACACACTCACATACACACTCACACACTCACCTACACACCCACCTACACACTCACCTACACACTCACCTACACACTCACTAACCTACACACACACTCACCTACACACTCACCTGTACACTCATCTACACACTCACCTGTACACTCACCTACACACTCACCTACACACTCACTAACCTACACACACACTCACCTACACACTCACCTGTACACTCACCTGCACACTCACCCACTCACCTACACACTCACCTACACACTCACCTACACACTCACCTACACACTCACACACTCACCTGTACACTCACCTGTACGCTCACCTGCCCGCACCTCTCGGCAGTTGGAGCTGGCCGTGACGGAGAACGTCACCTCGTCGCTCACCTCCTTCTGCCGCTGGCACCGCTCACACAACCCGGCGGACGACGCTCACCCCGACCACGCCGACCTCGCACTCTACGTCACTAGGTCAGCCGCTTTGTTGGGTCACTGGGTCAGTGTGGGGGGTCAGCAGGTCAGTGGGAGGGGTGGGGGTCACGAGGTCAGTGGGGGGGGGGTCACCGGGTCAGTGGGGGAGGTCAACGAGTCAGTGGGGGGTCACCGGGTCAGTGTGGGGGGTCACCGGGTTAGTGGGGGGGGGTCACCGGGTCAGTGGGGGGGGGTCACTGGGGGGTCACCGGGTCAGTGGGGGGTCAGTGGGGAGGGGCGACACCGGGTCAGTGGGGGGGGGGGGGGGGTCACCAGGTCAGTGTGGGGGGTCACCAGGTCAGTGTGGGGGGTCACCAGGTCAGTGGGGGGGTCACCAGGTCAGTGTGGGGGGTCACCAGGTCAGTGGGGGGGGGGGTCACTCGCTCACCAAGTCACTTGGCATGCGCAGGCAGCAGCAACGAGCTGCACGTCGGTACGCCGCTTGCGGTCGCCGTGGTTGCGGTGGTTGCGGTGGTTGCGGATGTCACAGCCGGTTGTCACACCGTCGGGACCGCTGTGCTAATACGGTTTCTACGGTTGTTGCGGTTGTTGTGTTTGTCGTCACGGTGGTTGTGGTTGTCGTCACGGTTGTTGCGGTTGTCGTCACGGTGGTTGTGGTTGTTGTGGTTGTTGTCGTCGTCACGGTGGTTGTGGTTGTCGTCACAGTGGTTGTGGTCGTCGTCACGGTTGTTGCGGTTGTCGTCGTCACGGTGGTTGTGGTTGTCGTCACAGTTGTTGTGGTTGTTGTCGTCGTCACGGTGGTTGTGGTTGTCGTCACAGTGGTTGTGGTTGTCGTCACAGTGGTTGTGATTGTCGTCACGGTTGTTGCGGTTGTCGTCACGGTGGTTGTGGTTGTCGTCACAGTGGTTGTGGTTGTCGTCACAGTGGTTGTGGTTATCGTCACGGTTGTTGCGGTTGTCGTCACGGTTGTTGCGGGTGTCGTCACAGTGGTTGTGGTTGTCGTCACGGTTGTTGCGGTTGTCGTCGTCATGGTGGTTGTGGTTGTCGTCACGGTTGTTGCGGTTGTGGTTGTCGTCACGGTGGTTGTGGTTGTTGTCACAGGGGTTGTTTTTGTCATCGTCACAGTTGTTGCGGTTGTCGTTGTCGTCACAGTTGTTGCGGTTGTTGTCACCGGAGTGCAGGCAGGACCTGGTGGGCACCGGCGGTCTCCGCGCCGTGCGCGGCGCCGCTCAGCTGGGCGGCGCCTGCTCCCCGGCGTGGAGCTGCCTCCTCGCCGAGGACACCGGCTTTGACCTCGGGGTCACCGTCGCTCACGAGATCGGCCACAGGTCATTAGTAGGTCACTGGATTTGGGGCGGCATCTCGGTCTGGGGGGGCGAGGCGGTGAACCCCGGCATGGCGGCCAGGCCAACGGAGAGGTCTGGGTCGGAGGTCAGAGCTGGTCGTGCATGTTTGCCCAGGGGGCAGCGCCAACAATCGGTCAAACTCGGGTTGAAGAATGACTCAATCTAAACTGCTATTTTATTTTACCAGGTGATGCCCACTGAGCTATACAGTGCTTTGTGACAGCTCGACGCGGCGGCAAAGCCGAATACTCTGAGCTCGCATTGATTCTAAATGTGGAGGGAAAAACCGGAGGGCCCGGAGAGAAATTCACGCGATGATGAGAGAGAGACACACAAACTCCAAATATACAGCAGCAGGCGTCAAGGTCGGGATCGAACCCACGACCTCCTGTACACCAGGCGAGGGAGTTAACATCTCCTAGCCACCGTGATGATGATGAGAGAGAGAGACACACACAAACTCCAAATATACAGCAGCAGGCGTCAAGGTCGGGATCGAATCCACGACCTCCTGTATACCAAGCGAGGTAGTCAACATCTCCTAGCCACCGTGATGATGAGAGAGACACGCAAACTCCAAATATACAGCGGCAGGCGTCAAGGTCGGGATCGAACCCACGACCTCCTGTATACCAGGCGAGGTAGTCAACATCTCCTAGCCACTGTGATGATGATGAGACACGCAAACTCCAAATATACAGCGGCAGGCGTCAAGGTCGGGATCGAACCCACGACCTCCTGTACACCAGGCGAGGTAGTCAACATCTCTCCACCTTACAAGCTGCGCCCGTGGTTGATGATGTCGCTGCGAGGTTTCGCGTGTGCTCTGCTCATCATCTCGCCGCTGACCCCCCCCACCCCCCATCCCCCGCGTGCCCCCCCCCGCCCCTCACGACGACAGCCTCGGCATCACTCACGACGGGGAGGAGAACGACTGTGGCGGGGGCGGTGGCTACATCATGGCGGTGGAGGGGGCACACGCGAGCCTCTCCTCCACCTGGTCTCGCTGCAGCCGCAAGCAGCTGCTGCGCTTCTTGAGGTGCATGTGTGTGCGTGTGTGTGTGCGTGTGTGTGCGTGTGTGTGTGTGTGCGTGTGTGTGTGTGTGTGTGCATGTGTGTGTGCGTATGTGTGTGTGTGTGCATGTGTGTGTGTGCGTGTGCGCGTGTGCGCGTGTGTGCGTGTGTGTGTGTGCGTGTGTGTGCATGTGTGTGTGCGTGTGTGTGTGTGCGTGCGTGTGTCCGTGCGTGTGTGTGCACGTGTGTGTGCGTTGGTGTGTGTGCGTGTGTGGGGAGTGGTGATCTAGCGGTTAGCGCGTTGCGCTACGAATCCCGGCGACCAACGTTCGATTCCCGTTCACGGCCAACACCCAGTGACGATTATCTGAACCGGTCCTGCGCCTCCGCTAGGTCGACTCGGCCTCAAATGAGTACCTGGTGCGGTGTGTCAACATCTTCACGAGGGAGACAAAGGCGGCCGGGCGCGGTTGCTGGCCACCCACCCCCTCGTGTGCCGTGCCGGCCTTCATAGGTGCTCGCTAACAGCACTTGCCCCGACACTCTATGAAAGGCTACACGTCGGTGGGGGGATTTTTGTCTTTGTGTAGCTCGGGAGAGGCCTGGTGCCTGTCGGACGCCCCCCCGGCCCCGGCGCCCGCCCACCCCCCCGTGCTGCCCCCCGTGCTGCCGGGCCTGCGCTACGGCGCCGACGAACAGTGCCGCGTCATGTTCGGCCACGGCGCCACCGCCTGCTCCTTCAGCAAGGACGACAAGGTGAGCGACGCCCACCCGCTCGCCCGCTCGCATGCACGCACGCACGCTCGCTCACTCGCTCACTCACTCGCTCACTCACTCGCTCGCTCGCTCACTCACTCGCTCTCTCGCTTACTCACTCGCTTGCTCGTTCACTTACTCGCTCGCTCACTCGCTCGCTCACTCGTTCGCTCGCTCACTCGCTCACTCACTCGCTCACTCACTCACTCGCTCCCTCACTCGCTCGTTCACTCGCTCACTCACTCGCTCAATCGCTCACTCACTCACTCGCTCAATCACTCACTCGCTCAATCACTCACTCGCTCATTTACTCACTCGCTCACTCGCTCGCCCACCGATTCGCTCGCACGCTCAATTTTCTCTCCTTCCGAATCACCCGCCGGCTTTGATCGTCCACCGGGTTCGCTCGCCCTTTTGGCTCACCGGCTGACTAACCTCGCTCACAACGCCCATTGGCGACTCACGTCACCCACTGACTCACTCGCCCACCAACTCAAATCCACCCGTTGATTTGCTCACCCACCCAACTCACTCCACCAGCTCACTCAGTCTTTCACCCACCGACTCACTCGCCTTGCAACTCGCTCAGCCCTCCCAAACTCACTCACCCACCAACTCCCTCACCCACCAACTCCCTCACCCACCAACGCCCTCACCCACCAACGCCCTCACCCACCAACGCCCTCACCCACCCACCCACCCACTCACTCCACCCACTTATTCATTCACCCACCAACTCCCTCACCCACCGACTCACTCCACCCACCAACTCTCTCACCCACCCACCCACCCACTCACTCCACCCACCAACTCACTCACCCACCCACTCACTCCACCCACTTATTCATTCACCCACCAACTCACTCACCCACCCACTCACTCCACCCACTTATTCATTCAATCACCAACTCACTCACCCACCCACTCACTCCACCCACTTATTCATTCACCCACCAACTCCCTCACCCACCGACTCACTCCACCCACCAACTCCCTCACCCACCCACCCACTCACCCACCCACCAACTCACTCACCCACCCACTCACTCCACCCACTTATTCATTCACCCACCAACTCACTCACCCACCCACTCACTCCACCCACTTATTCATTCACTCACCAACTCACTCACCCACCCACTCACTCCACCCACTTATTCATTCACCCACCAACTCACTCACCCACCCACTCACTCCACCCACTTATTCATTCACCCACCAACTCACTCACCCACCCACTCACTCCACCCACCAACTCCCTCCCTCACCCACCCACTCACTCCACCCACTTATTCATTCACTCACCAACTCACTCACCCACCCACTCACTCCACCCACTTATTCATTCACCCACCAACTCCCTCACCCACCCACTCCCTCACCCACCCACTCACTCCACCCACCAACTCACTCCACCCACCAACTCACTCACCCACCCACCCACCCACCAACTCACTCACCCACCCACTCACTCCACCCACCAACTCCCTCCCTCACCCACCCACTCACTCCACCCACTTATTCATTCACCCACCAACTCCCTCACCCACCCACTCCCTCACCCACCCACTCCCTCACCCACCCACTCACTCCACCCACCAACTCACTCCACCCACCAACTCACTCACCCACCCACCCACCCACCAACTCACTCACCCACCCACTCACTCCACCCACTCACCCACCCACCCAACCACCAACTCCCTCACCCACCCACTCACTCCACTCACCCACCCACCCACCAACTCCCTCGCCCACCTGACCCACTCACACCCGCGTGGGTGCCGTGCGTGCCCCTCTCCCTGTGCCCCTGCTGCGTGTGTGCCGCACTTGCTGCGTGTGTGCGCGCCAGGACGTGTGCAGCGTGCTCTCGTGCCACACGCACCGCGACGACTTCTCCAGCTGCACGCGGCTGCACATCTCGCTGCTGGACGGGACGCCCTGCGCTGACCACCGGGTGAGGAGGAGGAGGAGGCATCACGGTGGCGAGGAGATGTTGACTACCTCGCCTGGTGTACAGGAGGTCGTGGGTCTGATCTCGACCCTGACGCCTGCTGTATATTGCGTGTCTCTCTCTCTCTCATCATCATCACGGTGGCTAGGAGATGTTGACTACCTCGCCTGGTGCGCAGGAGGTCGTGGGTTTGATCTCGACCCTGACGCCTGCTGTATATTTGGAGTTTGCGTGTCTCTCTCTCTCATCATCATCACGGTGGCTAGGAGATGTTGACTACCTCGCCTGGTGTACAGGAGGTCGTGGGTTTGATCTCGACCCTGATGCCTGCTGTATATTTGGAGTTTGCGTGTCTCTCTCTCTCTCTCTCATCATCATCATGGTGGCTAGGAAATGTTAACTACCTCGTCTGGTATACAGGAGGTCGTGGGTTCAATCCTAACCCTGATGCCTGCTGTATATTTGGAGTTTGTGTGTCTCTCTTTCTCTCTCATCATCATTACGGTGGCTAGGAGATGTTAACTACCTCGCCTGGTGTGCAGGAGGTCGTGGGTCAACAGGTTCGATCCGGACAGTCCGTTAAAACGCTACACGGGGTGTCTTTGTATTTTGTGTGTAGGTGTGTGCGTGTAGGAGTGTCTGCGTGTAGGTGTGTGTGTGTGCGTGTAGGAGTGTCTGCGTGTAGGTGTGTGTGTGTGCGTGACTGAGTGTGTGTGGAGGTGTGTGTGGGGAGCGGTGGTGTAGCGGTTAGCACACTGCGCTATGAACCCTGGCGACCCGAGTTCGATTCCCGCTCACGGCCAACACCCGGTGGCGATCATCTGAACCGGTCCTGGGCCTCCCCTAGGTCGCCTCAGCCTCAAATCAGTACCCGGTGCAGTGCGTAAACATCGCCACCGGGGAGACAAAGGCGGCCGGGCGCGGTGCCGCCCACCCACCGCCCTCGCGTGCCGTGCCGGCCTTCGCAGGCGCTGGCTAAAGGCTCCGCTGGGGGATGTGCGTGTGTCTGTGCAGCGGTGCGTGCGTGGCGCGTGCGTGCCGTTCACGGGGGCGCCGTCCGTGGAGCCGGTGCACGGCGCGTGGTCGGCGTGGGGCCGCTTCGGGGGCTGCTCGCGCACCTGCGGCGGCGGCGTCACGGCACGCACGCGGCGCTGCAACAGCCCCCGGTGAGCCGCGGCGTGTCTGTGTGTGTGTCTGTGTGTGTGTGTCTGTGTGTGTGTCTGTGTGTGTGTCTGTGTGTGTGTCTGTGTGTGTCAGTGTTTGTCTGTGTGTGTGTCTGTGTGTGTGTCTGTGTGTGTGTCTGTGTGTGTCTGTGTGTGTCTGTGTGTCTGTGTCTGTGTGTATGTGTGTCTGTGTGTGTGTCTGTGTGTGTGTGTGCCTGTGTGTGTGTGTGTCTGTGTGTGTGTCTGTGTGTGTCTGTGTGTGTGTCTGTGTGTGTGTGTGTCTGTGTGTGTGTCTGCGTGTGTCTGTGTGCGTGCGTGTGTGCGTGTGTGTCTGTGTGTGTCTGCGTGTGTCTGCGTGTGTGTGTGTGCCAACTGTGGGGAGCGGTGGTGTAGCGGTTAGCGCTACGCTGCACTACAAACCTGCCGAGCCAAGTTCAATTCCTAAAATGAGTACTTAGTGCGGTGTGTAAATATCACCACTGGGGAGACAAATGCAGGGGGGATGTTTGTGGTGTGCGCGTCTGTGCGCGTTACGCACGACGATGCCGATGAGAGTGCCGTGATTCGGTGAGGCCAAGGACACCTCTTGTCATCATCATTATCATCGTCAGCAGCAGCAGCAGCATCATCGCCGTCGCCACAATCGTCATAACAGACGTCGGCCGTGGTGAGCGTGTCCGTGCAGGCCTGCGCTCGGAGGGAGGACGTGCGATGGGACGGACTTGGAGGCCGTCATGTGCAACCGCCAGGTGGGCCGAGTCCGTGAGCCGCTGGGCGCTATTGCGCTCTCTAAATCGTCTCGATTGGAGACTCACTCCTCTGGAACTGCTTCTTCGTGCTTCGTTGCGTTCGGCGTCCTTGGCCCCCGCACCTCCGATTATCACGGTTGTCTGCGTAGGGTGCGAAAGAAGTTCAACATACATACATATGTACAGACACACACACGCGCGCGTGTGCGCGAAGGCAAAAGTCCCCCGTACAGTCTGTTAGGGCAAGTGCTGTTTAGTGAGTAGCACCTATGATGGCCGGCACGTGCACAAACTCACAGAGTCGCCCTTTCTGATGCGCTCCTGCGACCGTCTGGAACGCTCTTCCTTTCGATGTTAGGAAGCCACCGGTGCTACGCACTTATAAATCATCAGAGTTGAAAACTCATTTTTTTAAAATAGCTTCTTGTGCTTAGTTTGGCATTCTTGCCCCCGCACCTCCGAAAGAAGTTCATGCATGTGTAGTGTCAGCGGAGCGGGAGACAAGGTTGTTCAGGAGCACCTTCTTGATTGACAACCTTCAGGTTCACAGGTCCGTCCTCGCGATCTCCTTAGTCGCCCAGCGTAGCCCTTAACACAACCCTGACCGGGCAGGACCGACGGCGCCGACCGAGACAGCCAGCAACTCTCCGGCCGGGCAATATCTCGCGAAGACGGCGGCGGCGATGACGAGACGAGTTTACTTCCCAGAACCGGCAGCCACGAGCTTCCGCTGTCCGCTGCCTTTATGATACCGGCGCGGCCTGGCTCCGCCCTGGCCCCGCCTCCCTTCTAGAACCTGCTAGAAGGTTCCAGGGGCTTCCAGATGGAGTCCTCCGTGACCTTTGCCCCAGTTCCTCCGCCCTGCCGACACAGCCGCGTATATACTCACCGGCGTGTGGACTGCTTGTCCACTGCAGTTGCCATTGCTGGACAACAGACGGCGCTATTACACTACACATACTACACTACCATACACTATACACTACACGATACACGACACTATATACTACACGCTATGCACTACACTACTACGTACTACGCTATACTACACTACTATGCAGTACACTATACACTACACACTATACAGTACACTATACACCACACATTATACACTACACTACTACACACGACAATATATACTACGCTACTATACAGTACACTGTACAGAACACTATACACTAGACTACCATAGACTACACTATACACTACACTACTACACACTACACTAAATACTACACGACTATACTTTACACTATACATCACACACGATACACTACTACACACTACACTATACACTACACTGCCATACACTACGCTACTACGCACTACACCACTATACTACATTGAAAACCCATTTCTTTAGCACTGCTTTGTTGTGCTTAGTTCATTACCCTCGCCCCCCGCATCTCCGATGAGCACGTTGGGCGACGTACGGTACGATAGAAGTTCAACGTGCGTATGTCCACGTGCGTGCGTCCACGTGCGTGCGTCCACATGCGTACGTCCACGTGCGTACGTCCACGTGCGTGGCGCGCCTCACCGGTCGCGTCGCAGTCCACCCGGCGTGCTCCCTCGCACCCCCAGCCTGCCTTCCGGAGGTTTGACTGCGCAGGGCATTTTTCGGTTTTGTTTAAATATCACCGTCGTCGTCGTCCTTAAAGATAAAACCCGAAATAGAAACTTAAGCAACTATCGGTGGAACCCATGGAAGCTCCTACAGAAACTGGTTCGATGTAACGGGGCTAAGCCCTGTTAGCTCTAGACCCCTGCTCCTCATGCTGCTCCTCGTGTTCCTGCTGCTGCTGCTCCTGCTTCTGCTGCTGTTGCTGCTGCTGCTGCTCCTGCTCCTGTTGCTGCTGCTCCTGCTTCTGCTTGCTTCTCCTGCTTCTCCTCCTCCTGCTGCTGCTCCTCCTGCTTCTCGTGCTGCTCCTCCGCTAACTACGACGACAATCGCTACCCCCCCCCCCCCCCGTTCCCGCAGCCGTGTGCCTCCGCGTCGCAGTTCTCTTTCGCCGTGGAGCAGTGCAGCAACACCAGCGCAGAGCCGTCCACCACCACCACCACCGCGGCGGCAGCAGCGGCGGCGGCAGCGGCGGCAGCGGGGACCCGCTCGGCGCTGCGCTACCACGCGTGGGCACCCACCATGGTGCGAGGTACGTACGGGCACCGTGCGAGCGCCGTGCGGGTGCCGCTTTGGGGCCGTGCGGGTGCCGTGCGGTGCCGTGTGGACGCGGTGACGGCACTGGCAGTACCGGCTGAGGCAGCAGTTTCAGCGGCAGTGGCGGTAGCTGTTTCAAGTTGCGGGTTTATTTTGTGCGGCCGCAAAGACAGAGGAGTCTGGTGAGAATTGTATTTTATTATGTTTTATTTTTGTTATTTTATTATTTCCCTTCTACGTGACTTTACCGAATGAACCGAGAAGATAGGAGGAGTCTCATTTGTGCGAAGAGTGAGCTGGGTCAATGGAGCGGGTGGGTGGCGAGTGCAATGAGTGCAATGAGTGGGTGGTGGAGGTGAGTGGACTTGTCAATGACCGGTACCGGCGGTGTTAATATCGGCCTCTGTGAAGGAGGAGGAGGAGGCTCGTGAAGGACGCTGCTGACTGGGCAGTTGGAGGAAGCCGCCCTCCAGCAACAGCGGAGGGCGGAGGAGCGATGCTCACGGCCAGCCGATTAACGATGAGTTTTGTTTATTATACAAGTGGGAGGAAAACCGGAGCGCCCAAAGAAAACCCACGCCCTTGTGCGAGGGTGCAATGCTCTATCCCCATAGTGCTGGAAAAACAGATGGCGATTAGTCCACTTGCGAGCCCAGGTTACGGGTATCTCCTCGACGCTCACAGCGCTGGATTACAGGCCACGCGCATCGCCTCCACCGCCTCACAGCGCTCGGATTTTGAGAGCCTTCCCCGTAAAAGAATACGTACGTGTGTCTGTATGTTGAACTTCTTTCTCACCATACGTAACCAACCGTGCCAATCGGAGGTGCGGGGGAAAGGATAACAAACTATGGGTCTCTGTGTGAGTCTATGGGTTTATGTGTGAGTCTATGAGTCTCTGTGTGCGTCTATGGGTCTCTGTGTGAGTCTATGGGTCTCTGTGTGAGTCTATGGGTTTATGTGTGAGTCTGCGGGTCTCTGTGTGAGTCTATGGGTCTCTGTGTGAGTCTGCGGGTCTCTGTGTGAGTCTATGGGTCTCTTTGTGAGTCTATGGGTCTATGTGTGAGTCTATGGGTCTCTGTGTGAGTCTGCGGGTCTCTGTGTGAGTCTATGGGTCTCTGTGTGAGTCTATGGGTCTATTTGTGAATCTATGGGTCTCTGTGTGAGTCTATGGGTCTCTGTGTGAGTCTATGGGTCTCTGTGTGAGTCTATGGGTCTCTGTGTGAGTCTATGGGTCTCTGTGAGTCTATAGGTTTCTGTGTGAGTCTGTGGCTCTCTGTGCGAGTCTATGGGTCTGTGTGTGAGTCTATGGGTCTCTGTGCGAGTCTCTTGGTCTCTGTGTGAGTCTATGGGTCTCTGTGTGAGTCTATGGGTCTCTGTGTGAGTTTGTGGCTCTCTGTGCGAGTCTCTTGGTCTCTGTGTGAGTCTATGGGTCTCTGTGTGAGTCTAAGTATGTATGTTGAACTTTTTTCTCACCGTACGTAGCCAACCGTGTTAATCGGATGCGCTGGGGGAAGGACAACAAACTAAGCACAAGAAGCATTTCTAAAGAACTCAGTTTTTAATCTAGATTATTTAAAAAGCGCACAGCTTCCAGTGGCTTCCTAACATCGGAAGCAAAGAGCGTTCCAGACGGCCGCAGAAGCGCATCTGAAAGCGCCGCAGCGCGATGCAGCGAGACACCGTCTCTGTTCGACGGTTCGCCAAAAGCAGCCGCCGCTACTGCTGCTGCGAGGAGACGACCGGGGTTCGCGTGCTGGTCTATGCTCCTTGACAAAATCGGCAGTGTATATTGTAATGTTATATTGTAATATTATATTGTCATATTATATTGTCATATTATATTGTCATCTTATATTGTCATGTTATATTGTAATTTTATATTGTCATATTATATTGTCATATTATATTGCCATATTATATTGTCATCTTAACGTACAGCATTTGAACGCGTAGGCTTTCGCGACCAATTATCATCCCCAAAAAACCCTATTATGTGCAGCGTTTGGTAACGAGTGAAATGCAATCGTGTAGCGCCTGATAAATCCTCGGGTATATGTGGTTGTGAAAGCCAAGGCATCACTGTGCTTATATTGATGCCAGTTATGTGCTGAAAAACAAAATAGTGAAACCCGTTTTGTCAATTTTTTGCTTTTTGCGATTCATACATCACATGTCAAAAATACAGAACTGCAATAACCGGGGAGGGGGGGAGGGGAATGACAGTTTGGTATCATCAGGCATGGCTGGTGGTAAAAGAGTCAAAGGGGAGGAATTGAAAATTACCCAAAGAGGGGGTCTCCCCCCCAATTCTATAACAGCCCCGTGCCCCCCCTCTCCCCCATCATCAAACTTAATCTGACCTCGCTCAGCGCACGCACACCCAACCTGCTTTCCCCGCGTCTCCCTCCCCACCCTCCCCCCGTGGCTGTATCCCTGTGGCCGTCTGTAGGAGACTGGCGCTGCCAGTACCACTGCGAGACCGTGGGCAGGAGTCTGCGAGTGTCGAGGGGGGCGGCGTTTGTGGACGGGACTCGCTGTGAACACCCGAAGGAATCGGCCCTGGGGCTGTGCGTGTCGGGGCGGTGCCAGGCAAGGGGACGCCCGCACACTCACCCACGCCGCTTGCACACACGGCCTGCTCGCACTGGGACACTCTCGCTCGCTCACGCTGGCACATGTTAACTCCCTCGCCTGGTGTGCAGGAGGTAGTGTGTTCGATCCCGACCCTGACGCCTGCTGCTGTATATGTGGAGTTTGCGTGTCTCTCTCTCTCATCATCATCACGGTGGCTCGGAGATGTTAACTACCTCGCCTGGTCTACAGGAGGTCGTGGGTTCGATCCCGACCCTGACGCCTGCTGCTGTATATTTGGAGTTTGTGGCGTCTCTCTCATCATCATCACGGTGGCTAGGAGATGTTAACTCCCTCGCCTGGTATACAGGAGGTCGTAATTTAGATCTAGACCCTGACGCCTGCTGTATATTTGGAGTTTGCGTGTCTCTCTCTCTCTCCCCATGGTCACGTAGATTTTTCTCCGGGTCATTCCGGTTTCCCCTCCACATTTAGAATCAACGTCGCGCGTTCAGGGTGTTTGGCTGCTATCAATGTCCACACGATGAGCCACATCGTTGAGCTGTCAGTTGTGGCCAGCTCGCTTCTGAAAGATAGCTACGTAGCTCAGTGGGCCTTACCTGGTAAAATAAAAATTAAACAACGATAGTACAGTATCGATTTGAAGCTTTCGCGACTGCAGGGATTCATCTTCTTGGTTCTTTCGGTAAAGTCACGTAGAAGGGAAATAATAAAATAATAAAAATAAAAATATATATATTTTTTTTTATTGTATTATTATTTTTATTATTTTATTACTTCTCTTCCACGTGACTTTACCGAAAGAACCAAGAAGATAGTACAGTACTCCCACTGGCATACGCCCACTGACATTGGCACGCGCACACTCATGTCTACACCCGCTCGCGGCCACCTTTGATCTCACCGGGGAGACAAAGGCGGCGCGGGCGCGGTGCCCCTCGCCAGCCTTCGCCGGCGCTCTGCTCGCTCACAGCAGCTTGCGCCAACGGTCTGCGTAGGTCACACGGCGGCGTTGGAGGAGACGTTTGTCTTTAAGGCGGCCGGACGCGGCGTTGGTCCGTGCCGGCCTTCACAGGTCCTCACTAACAGCGCCTACCCCAACGGTCTGCCGAGGCGGCCACACGGAGGGTCATCGCCTTTGTCTCCGCGCAGGAGTTTGGCTGCGACGGCGTGCTGAGCTCGGGAGTCGTCGTGGACGCGTGCGGGATCTGCGGAGGGGACGGCTCCTCCTGCTTCCGCGTCAACGGGACATTCCACGGCGGGGAGGCCAAGAGTGAGGATGGGACGCGCACCGTCGGTTCCCAGCCACCTCCCTCCAACCTTCATCCTTCCCTCTCCTCTCCTCCTCCAAACCCTCAAACCCTCCACTCCCTCCCCAAACGAGCTCCCACCTCGCCCCCTCCCTGTTCCTCTCCCTCCCCCGGTCTCCTCCACACAGTCACACTCCCTCCCTCCTCCATCTCTCACCCCTGGAGTCGTCCCTAGGGTCCTCACCGCAAACACACGGAAGGGTCACAGTGTCACAGATAAGGCATAGTCTCAGACGTATAATCAGCATTATCAGCAACGGCGTCATCAGCCGCAGCGGTAATAGGAGCATGGTCACCATCGGCCACCACGTAGTCGTCGTCGTTGTCCACGCCTTCACAGTCGCCAGCGGTGGCAGCAGCAGCAGCAGTTGTCATCTTTGGCTGCAGTAGCAACATAATGATGTCGTGATGATCATCATCATTATCATCAGCAGCAACAACAAGGGCATCTTTATAAACAATCTCATTATCATCATGGTCATCATCATCATCAGCAACTGTATCATCATCGTGAACAGTGTCATCATCTTGAGCCAATGTCATCATCATTACCATCATCAGCAGCAACAACAACAGTAGCAGCAGCATCATCACCACCTGCTCATAAGCGCTCATTGCTGTGTTATATTTGTCCCGTGGGGAGCGGTGGTGCAGTGGTTAGCGCACTGCACTATGAATCTGGCGACCTGAGTTCCGGTCCTGGGCCTCCTAGGTCGACTCAGCCTCAAATGAGTACCTGGTGCTGTGTGTAAACATCGCCACCGGGGAGACAAAGGCGGCCGGGCGTGGTGCTGGCCACCCACCCCCTGGCCTTCATAGGTGCTCGCAAACAGCGCTTTCTTTACGGGGGGGGGATCTTTGTCTTTGTCCATGTGTGCAGAGTACGTCACCTTCCTGCGCGTGCCCCTAAACGCCACCTCTGTGCACGTCTCGAACACCCGCTCAGCCTACACACACCTGGGTGAGTGCGTGCGTGTCCACAGGCTCTGCTAACCCCCACCCCCGCTCACAGCACTTGCCCCCCGACGGTCCGTCAAAGGCTGCACGGGGGATCTTTGTCAGTGGTGAGTGAGCGCGCCCGAGTGGCCCAGCCCACCGAGGAGAACGGAGCGATGTAGTCGGCACGTGCCGGCACGTGGGTGCCCGGTGGGTTGTCACAATCGCGGGTTCGCGATCGATGTTTGGCGGATTTGGGACGCCCTCCATCCGGCAACGGATAGACCGTGGATGATGAACGATGACAACGACGACGACGATGACGATGACGACGACGATGACGACGATGATGACGATGACGACGATGATGACGATGACGATGACGACGACGACGACGATGACGACGACGACGACGACGACGGGGAATTGCAAACGGAATACATTTTTCGGTCGCTCGCACGGCCGTTCATTTCGACTGCTCACGGAGTCGCTCGCGCCGGCTGCGGTCGCTCCGGCCGACGCCTCCCGTAGCGCTGCTGGTGGGCCGCGTGCCGGTGGTGGCCGGACGCGGCTCCGTGTCCACCAACGTGTCGGCTCCCTCGGCGCTGGAGGACGAGCGCCTCACCTACCGCCTCTACCTCACCGAGCTCAAGATCCCACGCACGGAGCGGCTCTCCATCCCGGGGCCCGTCACTCAGCCCACGCACGTGCAGGTGCGGGGAGGGCTGCGGGGGACACGAGTTGCTGTGTGTGTGTGCGTGTGTGCCGGGTGGCGCTGCTCACGTCACCACCGCCGTGCAGAGACGTTGTTGTGTGTGTCTGGGTGTGAGTTAACAGCACTTGCCCCGACGGTCTTTTAAGGCTATACGGGGGATCTTTGTCTTTGTGTGTGTGCGAACGGTGCGCCATGAATTCGATTCGAGCACACGGACGAACGCACCGACACCGGTGACGATTATCTGAACCTGCCCTGGGCCTTCCCTTAGGTCGACTCAGCCTCAAACTAGTACCTGGCGCGGTGTGTGGTAAACATCACCACTGGGGAGACAAAGGCGGTCGGGCGTGGTTGCTGGCCACCCACCCCCTCGTGTGCCACAGTGCCGGCCTTCGTAGGTGCTCGCTAACAGCACTTGCCCCAGCAGTCTGCTCAGGCTAAACAAATATTCACAATGTGGGGGTTGAGGGAATGTATCCTACGTGACCACCGGCCTTCATAGGTGGTGCTTGCCCCCCCCACCCCTCCCCGCCTCCACCCCTGCCCCCCCCCACCCCTGCCCCCCCCCCTTGCGTCCGTGCCCGCCGTGGCCGCAGGTGTACCGCCGCTACGGGCGCGAGTACGGCCGCGCCGCCGACCCCGACATCGTCTTCTCCTTCCACCTGCCCCACGGGCAGCCGCTCTACCAGTGGGAGGAGCGGCGGGCGCCGTGCCCCCACACCTGCGGCACAGGTGAGACAAAGGCGGCGGGGGTGGCTCAGCCTGGTCGGTACTGCAACGAGGCGCCCGCCGCTCACCGACTCGTCGATGGTCGCGAAGGGGCACGAAAGGCGCTGCTCCTCAAGATGAGCCGGCCGCGTGTCGCCAGCCGCCAGCGATGAAGGGCTCGGTGGCTAGGAGATGTTAACTACCTCGCCTGGTATGCAGGAGGTCGTGGGTTCGATCCCCGACCCTGGCGCCTGCTGCTGTATTTGGAGTTTGTGGGTCTCTCTCTCCGTGGTGAGATGTTGACTACCTCGCCTAGTGTGCAGGAGGTCGTGGGTTCGATCCCCGACCCTGACGCCTGCTGCTGTATATTTGGAGTTTGCGTGTCTCTCTCTCTCTCTCATCATCATCATCACGGTGGCTAGGAGATGTTAACTACCTCGCCTGGTGTGCAGGAGGTCGTGGGTTCGATCCCCGACCCTGACGCCTGCTGCTGTATATTTGGAGTTTGCGGTGTCTCTCTCTCTCATCATCATCACGGTGGCTAGGAGATGTTAACTACCTCGCCTGGTATACAGGAGATCGTGGGTTCGACCCCCGACCCTGATGCCTGCTTCGTTGAACTATTATTTGTGGCAAGTCGCTTCTCAAAAAGAGCTCTACTGCTTCAAAACAAAGCTAGTTTTGTTTTTCTGCATTATATACAATGGACAAAGATCCGCCGTATAGCCTGAACAGACTGTTGCGGAAAGTGCTGTTAGCGAGCACCTACGACAGCCAGCTCGGCACTCGAGGGGATGGGTGACCAGCACCACGCCCGACCGCCTTTGTCTCCCTCGTGGCGATGTTTACACACCGCACCAAGTACTTATTTGAGGCTGATTCGACCTAGGGGAGGACCACGACAAGTGCAGATAATCGCCACTGCGTGTTGGCCGTGAGCGGGAAGCACCAAGTACTTATTTGAGGCTGAGTCGACCTAGGGGAGGCCCACGACAAGTGCAGATGATCGCCACTGGGTGTTGGCCGCGAGCGGAAATCGAACTCGGCGGTGGCCGGGTTCGTAGCGATCAACGCCGCGCTGATCGCTACGCCGCCGCTCGCATCTAGAGATTCGCAAGCGTTGGCTCCGATGCGGATCGAACGGTCGTTGCGGCGGTTGACGGCGTTGATGCGGTGGTCGGTGGCGCCGTGCGTGCAGGGACGACGCGTGCGGCGCACGTGTGCGTCGACCCCTCGCTGGGCTCCGAGGTGCCGTCCGAGCGCTGCCTCCTGGGCGGGCCCCGGCCCCTGGAGCGGACCGTGCCGTGCAGCCGGAGCCTGGAGCCCTGCCCGGCCCCGCTGCACGAGTGAGGGACGCGTGTGTCCGCGTGTGTGTCCGTCTCCGCGCGGGCGTGTGTGTGTGTCCGTGTGCGTGTGTCCGCGTGTGTGTCTCTTTGTCTTGTCCGTGTGCGTGTCTGTGTGTGTCCGCGTGTGTGCGTATGTGTCCGTGTGTGTCTCCGCGCGGGCGTGTGTGTGTCCGTGTGTGTGTGTCTCCGCACGGGCGTGTGTGTGTCCGTGTGTGTGTGTCTCCGCATGGGCGTGTGTGTGTCCGTGTGCATGTGTCCACGTGTGTGTGTCTCTTTGTCTTGTCCATGTGCGTGTCTGTGTGTGTCCGCGTGTGTGTCCGCGTGTGTGTGTACGTCTGTGTGTGTCTCCGCACGTGCGTGTGTCCGCGTGTGTGGGTGTACGTCTGTGTGTGTCTGCGTGAGCGTGTCTGTGTGTGTCCGCGTGTGTGGGTGTACGTCTGTGTCCCCCCGCATGTGCGTGCCACCTTCCATGGGTGCTACTCGCTAACAGCACTTGCGCGAAAAGCCTGTTTTGGCTACACGGGGTATCTTTGTCTTTGTAGCAGTTCGCGTAGACACGTGTGCGCTGTCCAGCCACAATCGCCCTCCAACCCGCACTTACCAGAATGGTGAAGTATGGTCAAACGACCCCCACGACCTGCAACGCCTTCATCCAGCAGTGGATCGACACACGTACAACGACGCACGATAGGAACGCATATCGCCCCCCTCCCCCCTCGTTCGCTGGAGCCGGACGCAACCTTTGACCTCGCTCTCTCTCGTCGACCCGCAGGGTCACCGCGGAAGCGCCAGCGAGCGACGGCGATGGTGATGATGGCGTTACATCATCGTCGTCGTCAACGTCATCGTCAACGTCATCGTCAACGTCGTCATCGTCAACGTCGTCATCCTCGCTTGCTTCGGGAACGCCTTCCCTCGGAGCTGCGAGTCAGGGGTCACGCGGGGGTCGGAGGGGTTCCACGACCCCTTCCCCTATGACCTCCGCCCCCCCCGTGACCCCGACCACCAAGACCCCTCTCATCACGACCCAAGCTGCGCATGACGCGGCACCCTCAACAGAATTCTCAACTCCCACCACCCCTTCCTCCTCCTCCTCATCCTCGTCCTCCTCGTCAGCCTCCTCTTTCTCCACCTCCTCTACGGCTCCACAACTGCCCGGTGAGGGCATGGCATCATCGCCATCGTCATCATCATTGTCATCACCACGACGTTGTCATAATCGCAGTGAGAAGGTGGATATACTGGATGTGGTGTGCCGGTTGCCACTGAGGCGAGATGTTAACTCCCTCGCCTGGTGTGCAGGAGGTCGTGGGTTCGATTCTGACCTTGAAGCCTGCTGCTGTATATTTGGAGTTTGCGTGTCTCTCTCTCATCATCTTCACGGTGGCTAGGAGATGTTGACTACCTCGCCCGGTATACAAGGAGGTCGTGGGTTCGATCCCGACCCTACGCCTGCTGCTGTATATTCGGAGTTTGCGTGTCTCTCTCTCATCATCATCACGGTGGCTAGGAGATGTTAACTACCTCGCCTGATATGCAGGAGGTCGTGGGTTCGATCCTGACCCTGATGCCTGCTGCTATATAAATGGAGTTTGCATGTCTCTCTCCCCATGGCCGTGTGGATTTTTCTCCAGTTCCTCCGGTTTTCCCCTCCACATTTAGAATCAACGTCACGCGTTCAGAGCATTCGGCTGCTTTACATTTGCACGTGATAAGCCGCTTCGTTGAGCGATCATTTGTGGCCAGGTCTCTTCTAAAGAAATAGCTCCGTAGCTCAGTGGGCCTTAGGGGCCGTCCATAAATGACGTCACGCACCTAAGGGGGGTTAGAAATTTGTGACGATGTGTGACGAGGGGGGGGGGGGGGTTGTTTGAGAAATGTGACGTCACGTGAAAATGCGCAACTTTAAACAAATATAGACAACACGTTCTACTTGATTAAATAGATTTTTTGATAAATGTGTAATGCGGGCGTGGACGACCTTCCGGAGGTGACGTCATGGGGGGAGGAGTTACGTCACGTGGGGGAGAGGGTTCAGGTCTATAAGGGGAGAAACCGGAAGCAGTAAGGAGTGATCGGAGACTGGGAAAGTGTGAGGCCACGCAGGGCGGAGTGGGGAAGAGAGAGAGTGGCGAGATCGCCACACACACACACACACCCCGAGGATCGGCACCGTCGGCCAACGGTGACCGACCCCGGGGCTGGAGGAGCAGCGAGGAGACTGCAGAGAGAGCAGCGGGTCTGCAAGGGTGGAATTCAGCAGCGGGGGTCTGCAAGGAGGGAAGTGGGCTATGTGAGCGACAGCAGCCTGGGGCTGCAGAGCGAAGAGTATATAGGGGAGTGCTGTGAAGTGGGCTACGTGAGCGATAGCAGCCTGGGGCTGCAGAGCGAAGAGTAAAGGGGAGTGCCGTGAGGGAAAAGAGATCGAACCCAAATAAAGGACACAGGACAGAGAGAAGCGTCCGAGTCTTTTATTACACTGGTGTTGGAACTGTAACGGCATGGCAAAACAACTGAGAAAAAAGAATATTCCGTCTCCGGCTTCGGCTTCTTCTTCCGACGACGAAGACCTTCCTCCTATGGTGGACCTGACTCCGGCAGAGGAGGAGGTCCGTGCTGGGACGAGTGCTGGTCCGGGGGTCCAAGAGGTCGTCGCGTCGGCGGACCCGTCTGCACCAAAGGACGTGGATTTAAGATGGAGTCAGATGGCGGAGCAACTTGAAACTCTCAAGAACGTACTTGCACAGTTGTGTGAGCTCGTCACGCCGAGAACGGCGTCTGGAGAAGATGTTGGTGGTCCGCAGGAGCCCGGGTTGTCTTCGCTGTCGACGCCATCAGCCACACGGCGTGAGGACGCCATCTTGGGCATGGCGCACGAGGAAAGGCGGGAAGCCGCCATTTTGGGCCCTTCGCGGCATAAGGCCGCCATCTTGTCGACACCACGTTGCGACGCCATGTTGAATCTGCCACCCGATGAGTCAGCGGCTGGAGGGAGCGCGCCAAGAGGTCGCAGTCGTCACTTGACGACTGTAAAAGAATTCTCCATCGGGGGAGATTGGAGTGCGTTCGCCTGCAGATTTTTAGCAGCGGTACGCACGGCGAGGTGGACTGACGCCGAGGCATTAGAAGTTCTTCCGACTCTTCTCGATGACGAGTCTGTTAGATTCTTTCGCTCGATAAAAGCCTCGAAGAAGAAAACATTGCGAGGTGTATTCGACGAAATGGCTGACGCTTACGAGCCACCGGACGATGCTCATCGCCGGTTTGTGCAACGACAGCGCGCACCCGAGGAGTCTCCGGTGGCGTATAGGGGCGCGGTGCTGGAACTGGCTATGGCTGCATACCCGGAGACGGAGCCTGACCTGCTGGAACCTCTCATCCTGGGGAAGATGCTGGAGCTGTCCCGGGATCTCGGCATTCCTATGCCGGTGTGTGGTCATGAGAAGCTCACCTCCCAGGCTGCGGCCAAATGTCTAGATGCCCAGTTCAACCTGCGCCGGTGGAAGCAGGTTATGGCGTGGACGGGGGGGCCTATCGTCGAAGGGGGAGCCTTGGGTTGGGACCCCAAAAAGGCAGTTTATGTGCCAGACGACAGGGGCCCGCAGGAGCTGTCGGCTGCCGCGGCTCCGTGGACGGGCCGAGGGGGGCCGGGGCCACGGGCTGCGCCGCCGACACGGCCGCGTCGGGACGGGGCGTCCGCAGCGCGCCGTAACGACATCGACTGTTTCTGCTGCGGGCGTAAGGGCCATTACGCTCGGGACTGCTGGGCCCGCGTTCCGGGTCCGCCCCAGCAGGAGGCCTCGCCTGCGGCCGCTCCAAGAACGGATTCGCCAGCACAGACGAGCCGGCCGTAACGTGGCAGGGGAAAGAAGATTCAGCTCGGGGTGCGCCTAACACGGCTGCGGAACCTTTGAGACCCGCAGCCCTTCCAACCCCGCCGCGGACGCGATTGCGGGACGCCCCTGATGCTGCGCCGGCAAGATTGGGGGTCTGGGACGTTGCCAGGCTTCCAATAGCGACAGACTAACTTCAACCTGTCGCTCTTAAAACCCTGCCACGTTCTCGTTCAGCGGGAGGGCCGCCGACCGTCCGGGACGGTCCGGCGACCCGCACCCGCTCAAAATCCCTCACATTTCGTTAATTATTGTGTTGTGTTCTTGTTCTTCGATATAATATTGTGTGTTCTGTGTCCTTTTTCATATTCGGTCGTGTTCGCCCGCATTGTTGTTGGAGTTGTGTTCAGCCGAGGTCGGCTGGATTTTCTCTACGGGGGAGGGTGGTGTAATGCGGGCGTGGACGACCTTCCGGAGGTGACGTCATGGGGGGAGGAGTTACGTCACGTGGGGGAGAGGGTTCAGGTCTATAAGGGGAGAAACCGGAAGCAGTAGGGAGTGATCGGAGACTGGGAAAGTGTGAGGCCACGCAGGGCGGAGTGGGGAAGAGAGAGAGTGGCGAGATCGCCACACACACACACACCCCGAGGATCGGCACCGTCGGCCAACGGTGACCGACCCCGGGGCTGGAGGAGCAGCGAGGAGACTGCAGAGAGAGCAGCGGGTCTGCAAGGGTGGAGTTCGGCAGCGGGGGTCTGCGCGACGAGACAGCAGCGGGTCTGCAAGGAGGGAAGTGGGCTATGTGAGCGACAGCAGCCTGGGGCAGCAGAGCGAAGAGTATATAGGGGAGTGCTGTGAAGTGGGCTACGTGAGCGATAGCAGCCTGGGGCTGCAGAGCGAAGAGTGAAGGGGAGTGCCGTGAGGGAAAAGAGATCGAACCCAAATAAAGGACACAGGACAGAGAGAAGCGTCCGAGTCTTTTATTACAAATGTTTTCTCCTGCAACATCAGAGTGCAGCGCCACATTAAATACGCACTACAATGACAATAGTTTAAAGCGATTTGAAGCATGTTTTATTTGGGGGGGGGGGGGGGGGTGGCAGAGCTTTGTGACGTCATATTTGAGAGGGGGGGGGTCTGACTTTTTGTGACGCCGTGTGACGAGGGATGGGGGGGTCAAAAATCGTCCAAAATCGCGTGACGTCATTTACGGACCGCCCCTTACCTAGGAAAAATCTATAAAAAATAAAATTACGTAGCATGTTCACGTATTGTACTCTGTGGGGAGCGGTGGTGAAGTGGTCGGCGCACACGGCCTACCCACGTGGCCACCCGAGTTCGATTCCCGCTCACGGCCGACTACAACAGTGGCCAATATACCTGAACCGGTCCTGCACTCATCCCAGAGGTCGCAAACGGGTTTTGATTCCTTACCCCCGTACCCGGCCGCACCAGGGTCACAAACGGGTACCCGTACCCGGCCCTACCCGTACCCTACCCCCGTACCCGGCCGGGTATGGGTATCGGGTACCTGATTGCGACCTCTGGGATGAAGCCATGTTGCAGGCGCGGGTGGGTTGATTCTAGGAACTTGAATTGTGAGAAGAGACAAAACGTTGGGAAATGAGTGACACACAGTTACTCACCAGTGACTCACGGCCCACCCGTACCCGTACCCGGCCGCACCAGGGTCGCAAACGGGTACCCGTACCCGGCCGGGTACGGGTAGCCGGGTATCGGGTAGGGTATCGGGTACCCGGTTGCGACCTCTGACTCATCCCGAAAACGAGCACCCGGTGCGGTGTGTAGTAAGCATCGTCACTGGGGAGACAAAGGCGGCTGGGCGTGGTGTTGGGCACGTCACTCCCTCGTGTGGGCCTTCACTGTTGCTGGCTAACAGCACTTGCCCCAACAATCTGTTCAGGCGGGGGAACTTTATCTTTGCCAGTGTGCGTGTATTACCGTGTGTGTCTGCGTGTGTCCATGCGTGCGTCCGTGCATCTTCTCAGCCATTGGGTCTGTTCCGTGACCTCCTACCCAAGCACTTCTTCTCGCGATGGCACTCAAAGTGCACCCAGCCTGGCACGAGCTGTGCGGCGTCGTCACCGCGAACAGCGGCTGCTGTTTTTGCTTCTGTTGCTCCTGTTGTCGCTGCTGTAGTTGCTGCTGCTGTTGATGCCGTTGCTGCTGTAGCTGCTGCTGTAGCTGCTGTTGTTGTTGCTGATGCTATAGTTGCTGCTGTAGTTGCTGCTGCTGTTGATGCCGTTGCTGCTGTAGCTGCTGCTGTTGTTGTTGCTGATGCTATAGTTGCTGCTGCTGTAGCTGCTGCTGCTGTTGTTGCTGCTGCTGATGCCTTTGCTGCTGTAGCTGCTGCTGCTGTTGTTGCTGATGCTGTTGTCGTTGCTGCTGTAGCTGCTGCTGCTCTTGCTGCTGTATCTGCTGCTGCTGTTGTCACTGCTGTAGTTGCTGCTGCTGTAGCTGCTGCTGCTGTTGTTGCTGCTGCTATAGCTGCTGCTGCTGTCGCTGCTGCAGCTGCTACTGCTGCTTCTGCTGTTGTCACTGCTTTATCTGCTTCAGCTGTTGTCACTGCTGTAGTTGCTGCTGATGTTGCTGCTGCTGTCGCTGCTGTTGCTGCTGCTGTAGCTGCTGTCACTGCGTTGCCGTGCGTCGTCTGTCCACCGCCCGTAGCGTCGTGCGGGCTGCAGGTGACGGCGCCCGCGGGCGTCGTGCGCCTGGACGCTCGCCCCGGGGTGGACTGCAGCGTGGCGTTCGCTCGCCCGCTCGGCGAGGTCGTGTCCGTGCACGTGCTGCAGCACAACATGGAGTGCAGCGCCGGTGAGGGCGCCTGAGTGTGTGCGTGAGTGTGTGAGTGAGTGGGTGCGTGAGTGAGTGAGTGTGTGAGTGAGTGAGTGCGTGCGTGCGTGAGTGCATGAGTGAATGAGTGTGTGTGTGTGTGAGTGAGTGCGTGAGTGAGTTAGTGAGTGAGTGAGTGCGTGAGTGTGTGAGTGAGTACGTGAGTGAGTGTGTGAGTGAGTGTGTGCGTGTGTGAGTGAGTTTATGAGTGAATGAGTGTGTGAGTGCGTGAATGAGTGTGTGAGGGCGCCTGAGTGAGTGAGTGCGTGAGTGAGTGAGTGCATGCGTGAGTGAGTCCGTAAGTGAGTGAGTGCGTGTGTGCGTGAGTGAGTGCGTGCGTGAGTGCGTGAGTGAGTGCGTGAGTGTGTGAGTGCGTGCATGAGTGAGTGCGTGAGTGTGAGTGAGTAAGTGCTGAGTGAGTGAGTGCATGAGTGAGTGCGTGAGTGAGTAAGTACGTGAGTGCGTGAGTGAGTAAGTACGTGAGTGAGTAAGTACGTGAGTGCGTGCCTGAGTGCGTGCGCGCGCCTGCATGCGTGCATGGGGAGCGGTGGTGTAGTGGTTAGCGCGCTGCGCTACGAACCCGGCGACCCGAGTTCGATTCCCACTCACGGTCAACACCAGCGACGATTATCTGAAAAGGTCTTGGGCCTCCCCTAGGTCGACTCGGCCTCAAATGACTACCTGGTGCGGTGTGTAAAATCATTCCCACTGGGGAGACAAAGGCGGCCGGGCGTGGTGTTGTCCACCCAACCCCTCGTGATACGACGTGTGACATCGAACAAATCACTCGATTGTGTCTGGCAGCGAGAGCGGTTCACGCGAACTCCGTCACAGAAGTTCACACCTTCTTGGTTCTTTCGGTAAAGTCACGTAGAAGGGAAGTAATAAAATAATAAGAAATAAACCCGTAAAAACAAAGTTTTTCACTATAAATCCTTTATATGCGTGGCGGCTAGAGTCCTCTCGTCCTCTGGCTTGAGATGGCTGCCACCTATGGGTCAGATGATTGTCTGCCAGTATTAAGCAATTGGTAATTAAATATTTAATTTGTTTTCCCTAAACAGTGTAACATTTTGGAACGAGTCTGTGTGCAAAATGTCAGCTCGATTGGATCACGGGAAGTGGGTTAAAAAACGACCGAAAGATTTGCACGGTCGTAAGCAAGCAAGCACGCAAGCAAGCAAACGAACTTAATATAAAGGATTTAAAAATAAAACATAAAATAATTCTCACAACGTTTCGGCCACAACGCAAGCAGCCGTCCCCAGGGGTGTGTCATTCAGACTCTGTCTTCTCGACAGACCTGTTCTTCACCTGAAGACGGCTGCTTGCGTTGTGGCCGAAACGTCGTGAGAATTATTTTATTATGTTTTATTTCTATTATTTTATTATTTCCCTTCTACGTGACTTTACCGACAGAACCAAGAAGATGTAATCCCTGCAGTCACGAAAGCTTTACATCGAGAAGTTCACACGTTTGGCGCAACGGCCCTTCGCTGGACTCTGCCCGGTGAATGAAATGAACGAATGCCCTTTGACCCCCCCGCTCCTCTTTGACCCCCCCCCCGACTCCCACCCCCCTCCCCGCCCTGTCGCCCGTCGGCAGGCGACTACGCGATGGTGCTGGAGCGGCTGTCGTGGCGGCGCTTCTGCGAGGGCTCCCGCAACACGACGCTCTCGTCGCGCACCAACAACCTCGTCGTGCGCCTGCGCGCCGCCGGCGGGCGCCGGGGCCTTCGCGTGGCCTTCGCCGCCCGGCGGGCACGAAGGCCGCAGCACCGAGGTGGGGACGGCGCTCGGGGAGGGGGGCGGGGGGGGGGGAGACTCGCGATGCCGGCACGGAGCGGCGCCCACTCGTGACGGCCAGGGACAAACTTCTCTTCTCCCCGTGCTCATTCTCTTCCCCACCCCCCCCATCCCCCCACCCCCCCCCCCATCAAACCCACCCACCCCTATTCCCCACACCAACCCCACCCGCCCCACCACTCCCCCCACCCCTCCCACCCCCCACTTTCCCGATACCCCCCCCCCACCACCCACACACTCCCACTCCCCTCATCCCCCCACCTCCCCACCGCCCCCCATCAAACCCACCCACCACCCCCATTCCCCACACCAACCCCCCCACCACCTCCACACCCCACCACTCCCCACTCGCCCCACCACCCCCCCCACCCCCCACTCCCCCCACCCCCCCCACTCCACCCCCCCAACACCCCTCCAACACCCCCACCACCCCCCTTACCACCCCTCACTCCCCCACCTTCCCCACCTCCCCCCACCACCCACACACACACTCCCCCCCCCATCCCCCCACCCCCCACCCCCCCACCACCCCCCCCATCAAACCCACCCACCCCCATTCCCCAAACCAACCCCCCCACCACCGCCTCACCACTCCCCCCATCCCACACTCCCCCCACACTCCACCCTCCCAATACTCCCACCACCCCCCCCCCACCGCCCACCCCACCCCCCCCCCGCAGAATGCGACGTGCAGCTGACGGGCATCAAGGGCCGGATCGGCGCCCCGCAGGCCGTGGCGGGTGGCGGTGGCGGCGTGGTGGCCACCCAGCCGTGCCGCGCCTACATCAACGTGCCGCCACAGCGGCGCATCGTCCTGCGGGCCATGGTCACGAGCGGCGCGGGGCGGGGGGCGGAGCAGGACGGGGCGTGCGACGGCCACGTCGTGGTACGTCCCCGCGGTGGCGAGGAGATGTTAACCACCTCGCCTGGTGTACAGGAGGTCGTGGGTTCGATCCCAACCCTGACGCCTGCTGCTGTATATTTAGAGTTTGTGTTTCTCTCATCATCATCACGGTGGCTAGGAGATGTTGACTACCTCGCCTGGTATACAGGAGGACGTGGGGTCGACCCCGACCCTGACGCCTGCTGCTGTATATTTAGAGTTTGTGTGTCTCTCTCTCTCATCATCAACACGGTGGCTAGGAGATGTTAACTACCTCGCCTGGTGTACAGGAGGTCGTGGGTTCGATCCCGACCCTGACGCCTGCTGCTGTATATTTAGAGTTTGTGTGTCTCTCTCTCTCATCATCAACACGGTGGCTAGGAGATGTTAACTACCTCGCCTGGTATACAGGAGGTCGTGGGTCCACTGACGCCTGCTGCTGTATATTTGGAGTTTGCGGTGTCTCTCTTCCCGTGGCCGTGTGGATTTTTCAACGTCGCGCGTTTTTTGGCCGCTATCAATTTCCCCGCGGTGATGATGATGAGCCGCTGTCGTTGAGCTATCATTCAGCTCAGCGGGGCCTCACCTGGCTAAGTATGAAACAGCTTAGCAGATTGCGCTGTGCCAGCCTTCACGGGCTCTGCTCGCGAACGGCACTTGCCCCAGCAGTCTGTCGAGGCTACACGGGGGATCTTTGTCTCGTTGCGCTCACAGGTGAGGGACATGGAGACGCTGAAGGCCGTGCCCGTGTGTGGGCCCAGGCCGCTCGTGTGGAAATCTTCCGGCAGTCGAGCGGAGATCGAGTTCCACGGCCGGCTCAGCAAGCAGACGTCGTCCTTCATCGCTCTGTACCGCGCCATCGACCCCGGCGCACCCCTCTCCGGAACATAGACCCCCTGCAGACCCCCTGCAGACCCCCTGCAGACCCCCTACAGACCCCCTGCAGACCCCCATAGACCCCCTACAGACCCCTAGACCCCCTGCAGACCCCCTGCAGACCCCCTGCAGACCCCCTGCAGACCCCCTGCAGACCCCCTACAGACCCCCATAGACCCCCTACAGACCCCTAGACCCCCTGCAGACCCCCTGCAGACCCCCTGCAGACCCCCTACAGACCCCCTGCAGACCCCCTACAGACCCCCTGCAGACCCCCATAGACCTCCTGCAGACCCCTAGACCCCCTGCAGACCCCCTGCAGACCCCCTACAGACCCCCTGCAGACCCCCTACAGACCCCCTGCAGACCCCCATAGACCCCCTACAGACCCCCATAGACCCCCTACAGACCCCCATAGAGCCCCTGCAGACCCCCATAGACCCCCATAGACCCCCTACAGACCCCCATAGATCCCCTGCAGACCCCCATAGAGCCCTACACACACCCCAGACCCCTACACACCCTACAGACCCCCTACAGACCCACATAGAGCCCCACAGACCCCCAGACACCTACACACCCGACAGACCCCCATAGACCCCCTACAGACCCCATAGACCCCCTGCAGACCCCCATAGAGCCCTACACACACCCCAGACCCCTACACACCCTACAGACTCCCTACAGACCCCCATAGAGCCCTACAGACCCTGGTGGAGCCCTACAGACCCCCAGACTTCCCCAGACCCCCATAGACCCCCTACAGACCCCCATAGACCCCTACACACCCCCATGGAGCCCTACAGACCACTAGACCCCTATACACCCCCAGACCCTTACAGACCCTCATAGACCCCCTACAGACCCCCCAATGGAGCCCTACACACCCCCAGACCCCTACACAACCCCATAGACTCCCTACAGACCCCCATAGAGCCCTACAGACCCTGGTGGAGCCCTACAGAACCCTACAGACCCCCATAGACCCCCTACAGACCCCCCAATGGAGCTCTACATACACCCAGACCCCTACACACCGCCATAGGCCCCCTACAGACCCCCCTAGGTTGTATTGAGTTTGGTTGTTTGTGCCTGCGAACCACTGCCAATGCAGTGTCACCGAATACTTTCTACACCGCAGTTGTGGTGTGGAGACACCAAGGTCCCGTGACCAAGTGGGAGTTGTGGTGGTGGTGGTGGCAGTGGTGGTGCTGGTGGTGGCAGTGGTGGTGGCAGTGGTGGTGGTGGTGGCAGTGGTGGTGGTGGTGGCAGTGGTGGTGGTGGCAGTGGTGGTGGCAGTGGTGGTGGTGGCGGTGGTGGTAGTTGTGGTAGTGGTGCTGGTGGTGCTGGTGGTGGTGGCCGTGGTGGTGGTGGCAGTGGTGGTGGTGGTGGTGTAGTGGTTAGCGCCACGCTGCGCTACAAACCTGGCGACCTGACTTCGATTCTCGCTCACGGCCAACACCGGTGACGAATATCTAATCCGGTCCTCCCTTAGGTCGACTCGGCCTAAAATGAGTACCTGGTGCGGTGTGTGTAAACATCGCCACTGGGGAGACAAAGGCGGTCGGGCGTGGTGCTGGTCATCCACCCCCTCCTGTGCCATGCCGGCCTTCATAGGTGCTGCTCGCTAACAGAACTTGCCCCAACAGTCTGTTAAGGCTACACGGGGGATCTTTGTCTTTGATGAAACTCCATCACCGCCAGCATCATCACCTAACAACGAGCGGAGCGCCGGGAGGCTGAAATGCAGCAAGTTGGCACAGTTGGGGGTGGCAGAGCTGATGTTTCGGCCAGTCATCTCAGTCAAACCTTTGGGGCCGTCCATAAATGACGTCACGCACCTAGGGGGGGGGGGGTGGTTTGAGAAATGTGACGTCACATCAACATACGCAACTTTAAATAAATATAGACAACACGTTCTATTTAATTAAATAGACTTTTTAATAAATGTTTTCTTCTACAACAACAGAGTGCAGCGCCGCATTAAATACGCACTACAATGACAATAGTTTAAAGCGATTTGAAGCATGTTTTATTTTCAAAATGGAAATATGGTTGGGGGGGGGTGCAGAGCTTTGTGACGTCATATTTGAGGGGGGTTCTGACTTTTTGTGACGCCGTGTGACGAGGGGGGGGGGGGGTCAAAAATCGTCCAAAATCGCGTGACGTCATTTATGGACGGCCCTCTATGGCACCTGGGGTCTGTCCCGTGACCTTTTGTCGGCGAGCCTTCGACGCTTCACCGTGGCCTCAAAGTGCACCTAGCCTGGCACAGGCGCCGTGGTGACGTCGCCGGCACTTAGTGGCGAATGGCGGCTGCTGTTGTTGCTGGTGTTGTTGCTGGTGTTGTTGATGTTGTTGTTGATGAGATAGAGAGCTTTGGAAATATCTGGCAGAAGGATTGTGTTGACTCCGTGCCTCCCCCGTGGGTCGTGACCAGCTCCGATAGAAGCAGCTGTCACAGAACTACGTTTGAGATCCCAAGTGATGTTGTTACTTGTCGTGCACACGAGGGGGCAGCGTTCTACCGCATGCCGTTCTGTAGAGAGGCATCTCACACAACGGACACGTAGGGTGGGACATGTTTAGACACGCGTTGTTGTTGTCCCGTTCTTACCCGCCTCGAGTGGACATCTGTGAAAAAGATAATTTCACAGCTGTCAACCCATATACGGTTTACCCCGTATTCTTGTACGGGGAAATTGAGTTTTCAGGTCTATAGCGCGTACAGCTGTTTCAGTAGGGGCAAAAACATTTTTTTTGTCTGTGTTTCTTCCTTGCGATGGGACTTTGTGGAATGAACGTTGAGATGTATAAGAGGCACGGGGTGACCAACGAGGTCTGCATTGGTCTGTAATCAGGTAGGGCACTGATAAGGGGTTTGACAGGTATGTAGATGTGTTGTGTGTAGTGGAGTGTGTAGTTTAGTGGAGTGTATAGGATGAACGTTGAGATGTATAGGGGCCACGGGGTGACCAATGATGGTCTGAATTGCTCTGTGATAAGGGGGTTGACGGGGATGTACTTTGTCGTTCATCGGATTCATCTCCGGTATAAATACATTTTCAGATTACGATTTTTGCTGGCTGTGAGAAGAATCCAGTGACCCACGAAGTTTCAGTTTCGCAGCTGTTCAAACTCCGAATGTTTGCGTCGACCAATGGAGGACATTTACAGGGGAAGTTACAGAAAGAGATACAATATATGCATGTAAATAATCGTACTTAAATACAATTTACGCGTAAGCACAACCAGAAAGATGAAACAATATTTACAGGATGAATTACACTTTGAAAATTCCCAGTTGTCAAATCACATTTGCACGTGCGGCAATCAATCCAGTAAAACACAAGTAAATATGCGCTGTATATATATGCTTAGAGCTGGAATTGAATGCCAAGTTTAAGTGAGAAAAAAAAATAACTTTAGGCGCTGCTAGCTAACAGCACTTGCCCCAACAGCCTGTTCAGGCTATACGGGGGGTCTTTGTCTTTGCTGTATTCATAACACAGTGTTTGTTGGTTAGATCGCTTAATATTCTTAGGTTTTTTCGGTAAAGTCACGTAGGTAAAAACATTAAAAAGTAAAATAAAATAAAAATCACGACGTTTCGGAGGCAACACAAGCTTCCGTCTTAAGGTGGTACCGTCACAGCCACGACAGCTGTATCAAGTAAATGAGAGATTGCAGGAGCTACCACTCCGTTTATATAATGGTTGGAGAAGGTGGTGGGGCGGTAGCTCCTGCAATCTCTCATTTACTTGATACAGCTGCCGTGGCTGTGACGGTACCACCTGAAGACGGAAGCTTGTGTTGCCTCCGAAACGTCGTGATTTTTATTTTTTTATTTTACTTTTTAATGTTTTTACCTACGTGACTTTACCGAAAAAAACCTAAGAATATGAATCATTGCAGTCACGAAAGCTTCAAATCTAGAATAGATCGCTTAAGTAGAAATGTGTCGTAACCCTCCACCACCCGACACAGCCGGTAAAAGTTTTCCACGCAAAAAAAACGCGCCAATGAGTGACTACTGCAGGCCACCGGTGTGTTGGAGAATAACTCCGCAACATGTAAATGTGTGTCCGGTGGTGACGGGTTATGACACATTTATACTTACGCGATGTGACCCCCCCCCCCCAAAAAAAAACTTTATTATGAATAATATTGGTCGCGAAAGCCGACGTGTGTTGAACTGTATGATAAACTTCTTTCGCACCGTACGTAGCCAACCGTGCCGATCATCCACGACCCGGGTAACTCCTCGGCGCGTGATCAAGAGTTGCCATCATTTTACGAGGTTGAATATCATTTTGATTGCAATTTAAAAAAATTTAATTAAGATTTTTGTTTAAAGGATGGAGCGTCATCTTCTTGGTTCTTTCGGTAAAGTCACGTAGAAGCAGCCGTCTTCAGGTGGAGAACAGGTCTGTCGAGAAGGCAGACTCTGCAGACTCTGCCTTCTCGACACGGCTGCTTGCGTTGTGGCCGAAACGTCGTGAGAATTATTTTATTATGTTTTATTTTTATTATTTTATTATTTTCCTTCTACGTGACTTTACCGAAAGAACCAAGAAGATGAATCCCTGCAGTCACGAAAGCTTTAAATCGATGGAGCGTCACTTTCGAATGCAGTAGACCCGCAGCCTTTCCCGATGCGCCAATCCTCATACCTAATAGAGGTTGTTTTGGGGAGTTAGATCGCGTAAATGTGTCGTTAATCCCGCCACCATCCGACACGGCCAACTAGTAATGGTTGTCACGTAAACAGAACGTGGCCAATTCGTCACTAGTACAGCACACTGGTTGTGTGTTGGAGAGCAAAGCCACAACGTTTACAATCCGACGTTTCGACAGTAATTACAACTGGCTTCATCAGGCGCGAAAGCCTCCGTGTTAAACAATCCTCTTCCCATATAACGTATACACGTATGTGTGTGTGTATAACCGCGTGTGTGAGTGTGTGTGCATAGGGCGTGTGGGGAGCGGCAGTGTAGCGGTTAGCGCGCTGCGCTACAAACCTGGCGACCCAGGTTCGATTCCCGCTCACGGCCAACACCAGTGACGATTATCTGAACCGGCTCTGGGCCTCCCCTAGGTCGACTCAGCCTCAAATGAGTACCTGGTGCGACGTGTAAACATCGCCGCTAGGGAGACAAAGGCTTGCCCGGGCGTGGTGCTGG